GTCTTCGAGAGTCGGAGGAAGTCTCAGGCCGATAAGCAAAGTCCTTTCGGTTTCTGAAGAAAGCTGTCAGAGACAGAAGATGGTCCATATCCTTTGTTTTGTATGAACATCAATTCTGCTGCTCAAGAATTCATGGCATAAATTCGTACTTTCTGTCGATTTATAATATCATCACAAACAATACAAGTTGATGAATTTCCGATGGGGCTTCACTATTTGCAGTGAAGCTCATATAAAGGCCCACATATTATATATTGGAATGATATCGCCAATTCAAACACATCTTATTCGAATAAGTAGATGAAGTGATTCTAAAAGAACACGAGAACAGGTTTGAGTTCTTTGGAAATACTGCCATTCTATGAAAAACAATAAATGTCAGCACATGCGTTGTATTCTTTCATATTACATACTTTCGGACATGTTGCATGCATGAAGCGAAAATTTTAGATCTGTTTAGAATGACATACAGAGATTAGGAAATATAAACTGAATAAATAATGACAAAATCAGAGTATTTACAAACTTTATTTTGAAAATAAAGAGTATATTTATTTTTAAAACCAGTAAAGTATAAAGATTTACAGACGAAAGAATATTTTTATTTCCTGTTCCCATTTTTACTTTGTTTTGCACGATATTTCTTTACTTTATATACTTTACTAATGCTTCAAAAACTATTCCTAAAAACTGTAGATAAGAATGTAAACAATACAGGAGTATAAATATAATAACAAAAATACACACTAGATTCCAAATAAATATATACAAATTTCAAAGGGAGTAGAGAATTTCTTGAGCGGCTGCCATTCCAGATTTGATACTATTTATATCAAATACAAAATACACAAGATAGATTAGTGGAGTTTCCTACTTAATTTATAAATATGTAATTACTCAATAAGGTGACTTTTTTGCTTTCTGTAAATTAAATATAAGAGTTACTTTTTTCAATTTAGGTCATTTTTAGTTTTATTTTCAAATTATTTTTTTTCAAAAAAGAGCTCTTTCAGCAAATCTAGAGTTCCTTCAGATTTATTTTTAGCAGTAGTTATAGAATTCACAAAAGTCACAAAGTTTATAGAAATTTTTCAAAAATTAAAAGTTCCTTAAATTAAGCTTCTTTCAGTTACCTATTCGAAAGTCAAAGAGTGAAATTGAATGACATAATCATGACCATTTGGGAACAATGTGTACTGAATTCTTCCTATTCATAGGAAAATTTTGCAGTGTAACTTCAGTTTAATTTTCAACGGCCGTTATTGAAGATTTCCGTTAAGAATGCTATACAGATTTCAAATCTTTATATACAAAAGTAATACTGACGAAAACAAGTCACATTAATGCAAAAGTCATATAATATTTCAAGTACTGTTCATTAATGTTTAAAATTTAGCAACAAATCTTTGATATTTATCATAATATTAAACAATCGATCATTATATACAACGGTCTAAATATTTATGAAATTTAGGAGCATCAAACAGTAAAACCATAAGGATAGAATGTCTATAAGTTCGAGAACTGAAAATTTAAAAAAAATAATTGCGTAAGGTATTCTTTATATAAAATTGAAAATAATCTTTAAACTAATTCTGTTAAAGTTAATTATTTATTGCAGCTATTATCACATGGAAATATGCAGAAAAATACACTTGCAAGAATTTTATATCAAAAGTGCAGTTCGAAATGGATATAAAGAAAACTCACTTTTTGAAATGGGCAAAATTCAAGATTAGCCTGATGTTAATGTTAGAGAATTGTGGCATGCTTTTCAATAGAATTTGATTCCGATCACTCGTCTTCGAGGCAGAGTCCAATCTTTGCTATTTCGAATGGGTATAAAATGGAGCGGAATAATTTGCTTCTTAAAGAACACAGACCAGTAACAGACTCTATCGAAATACATATTGCATTTTCAAAATTAACGTAGAAGTAATATTGACATTTGCTAACATTTAAAATATTACTCTAGGCAAAAGTGTTATAATTTTGTCAACATAAAACAAAATGGTGCATCTTTTGCTTTAAAAGCGATTCAATCATATTGTTCTTAGGTTACGATTAAGGTTTTTGTGCCTTTAATTAAGCTGTATGCAATAGTTGTAGAATTATCAATAAGTTAAAAGATTAAGTGGCGCTAAGTTCTTTATTGTTGCATACCTGAGAACTTGTATGCTTGCTTTCAAAGTGATTTCAAGCAGCTTGGGATACAAAAGATGCTCCTGCATCAGATTAGACACACTTTCTTCATATATTTAGGTATTTCCATCATTTTCAAGCTATATAAAAGCAATTTACAGCTTTTGTGTAGCTTGTGTTTATAGCGAGATATCACCTTTTCAGCAAAAGGTGGTAATATCTGGAGAGATATCGCCACTTTAGCATTGTAAGGTGACCATAATAGGATTGTCTAAAATAACAGAAACACTATGCTTAAGAAAATTAATTTCCTCGCTATTGATTACACAGTAACTCTTAAAGTTAGTCATCTCACATTTTGTATAATTATTTTGGATTCATTCACAAGGCTGGGTAAAATTCGTGATTACAATTGTCATTTGTAAAACCATAACTTGAAATTAAGGAAAATGGCTGATTTGGATGAATCGAAAGAGGCACTGACGTAGACATATTAGACACACATAAGAACTGTGTTTATAGTGAAGTCATTATACAGCATTAACGGCAAAACATAGTTTGAAAGGCGCTATTGAGAGAAGAAACCAAAACTTAACGACAAAGCCAGAAAGACATCAAGAAGATTTTTGTATTAAAAAGAAAAACTATTGCGAGAAAAGTGACTGCTGAGCATCTACAAATTTCAATTCAGACATAAAGAACCGTAAAAGCAGAATATGGATGACGGAGGTTTTGACTCGAAACCCCTTACTTCATGAATTGGTGTTTATAGAGGTGGAAGGGAGGTGAAATGCGGACTGTTGATCAACTTAAATAAATACTGTTTACAGATGGATTAACCTTCAAATCAGTTTCTACCTAAGGATGAGTTTGTAAAGGGAAAACACCAGCAGATGCTTATAACTAAGATTATATGCTTTCTACAGAAAAACAGAATGGTTGTTCAATTTTGATTTGGACAGTTATATAGCGATTCTCATAGATCCGATCATTAGATTATAAGAAAGCGCAGGCACTGTTTCTAACGAGTAAATACATCTTTCAAGATGATAATTTTCCCATTAACCAAATTCAGTTTCGTTAGATGCAGTTAGAAGAACATGAAGATTATACATCTTCCCTACTCAGCATAACCATTAGACTTAAATATTACTGAACCACTGTTGTCTGTGCTGGACGTTTGTTTTGGGGACAGAAAAAGATGTCAATTTAAATATCACTAAAGCAATGTGGTCTGTTCTGGGAAACAAAATTATATTCATTCTTCTCTCTCATCTTCACTATAAGGACTGGGGCAGTTTCTGATAGAAGTTCAGTGTAAAATACTCATTACCAACCCTGAGAACTTGTATGCTTGTTTTTCAAGCAGCTTGGGTTACAAAATATACTCCTACATCAGATTAGATACATATACACTCATATCAGATTATCTTCATATACACTCATGTCCATAAATTAAGGATAATTCGGAGTCACGCGGAAACCGAACTCTAAAATAAATATATCACCTGTAAAATCACTACACACATCTTCAAGAATCATATGCAAATTTCAAGAAGTAACCAGATGACACCGATGGTACGTCACAATGACGAGAGTGTAAGAGAGTGATATATAAGGAATACAGGCAAAGAAGTAAAATTGTTCGCAGGTGCTTTATAAGCATTTCAGTGCAATAACCGAATAGTTATGACACAAGGACGCATTTTGGATGATTTTTTACGTGGTAGAATTATCGGCCGTCTGGAATGTCGGCGTACCTAACTGGAAGTATCAGACGAACTTGGAATTGCCTAGAGTGTCATCTCCAGGCTTTGACAACAATTCCAAGATGATGGTAATATGAGTAGACGTTACAGCACAGGTCGCCCCGGAGTTACAACGCCGAATGAGGACCGGTATTTGGCAGTTACTGCCAAAAGAAACAGGCGGAGCACAGCCTCAGACCTGTCTCGTCAGCTCTCTTCAGCCACTGGTACGACAATTTTAAGGCAGACCGTGTACAGAGGCTTAGGGAAGATTGGTCTATATGCTCGTAGATCTGTCAGACGCGTTCCACTTACTGCAACTCACTGTCGCCTGCGGTTAGCCTGGAGTAGAGAGCATGCATTGTGGATACCGCAACAGTGGGCTTGTGATGTTTTCCGACGAGTCCAAGTTTAGCTTGCAGTCTGATTCTCGCCGGACTTTCAAATGGAGAGCTCCAGGTACCCGTTACCACCAAGAAAACATCATTGAACGACACCGTTACGGTGGTGCAGGAGTGCTCGTTTGGGGTGGAATTATTCTGGGTTCCAGAACTGACCTGCATGTTCAAATTGGAAACCATGACAAGCCAAATCTATCGGGACGTCATTCTGGAACAACATGTACGTTTGTTTTTGGGGCGCCATGGGCGCACAATTTGTGTTTATGGATGACAACGCCCGTCCTCACCGTGGCAAACATCGTAAGCGAATGCCTTCAACCGGAGGATATCACCCGGATGGACTCGCCAGTATTCTCGCCGGACTTGAATCCAGTAGAGCACGTGTGGGACATGCTTGGCCGACGAGTTGCAGCCCGTCAACCTCCTCCTACACGTCTACCGGAACTTCGGATAGCATTGCTTTTTGAGTGGTGTAATATCCCCCAAGATCAGATCGATAATTTGATACTCAGTATGCCTAGGCGTTGTACGGACTGTATTGCATTGTCTGGGAGACATACAATGTATTAGCAATCATACCAACCATGTAATATTGGTTTTTTGTAAATAGGGTTTTTTTTTTTTTTTTTTTTTTTTTTGTAATTTGCTCCAGGGAGAAAAATCGCTAATTTTTTTAATAATATCAAACATATAGCATCTTTTTTTGCTCTTTACCTTTTATTTAATAAATAAGCTTTACAACAAATTTGTTTTGCTTCTAACTCTTCCTTTGCCTGATTTTGCATTATCCTTAATTTATGGACATGAGTGTATTTAGGTATTTCTATTATTTTAGACAGTATCTCTAAACTGAATTTTCTGTAATCATCACGAAAGTACATTCTGTTATTTAGACTAGATGATACTCAGGCCTCCGTAATATGCAAAAATTGCTAGGAAGTAGAAATATATTTTAGCAGATTTTTTATTACGTTTCTGCAGTGGTTAGTTATTCCAGTATTTTTTTAGCGATTTCGAACTCGGAATGCTCAGTTTTTCCAAAGAGCAGAATTTATGCTTTAGAAAATTGTTTTCAATTGTATGAAATATTTTTATATATCTTCAAGATCTATCCATCTCGTTGAAAATATTGCTTGTTAATGATCCATGACATTAAGTCTGAAAGTTTCTGATTACCCCTGCAGAACGCAACATGAAGTAAGAACGTTTTGATTCATATAATCTTACTTCTGCTTTCATATAGAAGAAATTCTACACTAAAATGCAGAACATTTAATGATCTAATAATTCAAAAGTAATTGTAACTATCACTTTGATAGCATCACTATCACTTTTATGCATTAGGACTTTTATGTTATCACTTTTATTCGCTAGGACTGCGAAAAATAAAAGGCAAATACTCGTATACATGGATACATGTTATGTTTTTGCTTCGTGCTGACACTATACAAGCTTAACAAAGCATATAAAAGGAATGTCATTCAAGGCACGTAGGTAGCTACAAAGAAAACCATCTGAAGCGATCCGGAACTGGAGAATCTAGAAGGTAAAATGACTAAAGATCACGTTGTCTCTTGAAACTCTACAGGAGATCTATATCAGTGTTTAAGGGATGCTAAACTGGAAATGAATAATAATGTGTATACAAATATTATGCACTTTTAACTAAAAGCAGGCATTATTCCATATTAGTAATCACAAGATGCAAGCAATGATTTTTTTACGTCATTGAATTAAGTTGCAATTATTTCGAAAGCTAATTAATTGCAGCGATGTGCCAAGAAAGTTTTTTGTTCAAATGCACTAATATAACTACTAATTAAGGCTTCTGAAAATCAGCTATTATTGTTTTGTTTCTAAGTGTTTTAATGTAGATGTATTTCAACAAACTGTGCAATGTTAATGTTTAACCTTTAAGGTGACATAGGGCAAACGTGTTAAATTGGAATTTTCCTTTCTGTCAAATTGGAAGAATTGGTAACGAGGATAGTTGTTTTGCAATTATAAAATGGTTTCAGGTTGGAAACATGAAAGCCAAGTCCTTTACAAGCGAGCTACGAATCCATTTGAATCATGCTCATTTTCATGTGCTCCGTTTCTTTTACCAATTTCCTCTTCAGGACATGTCAGCCTCTTATCGCCAGTATCCATCTTTCGAGCAATTCTCTTCAATAGAAGCTTTTCTAGTCCCATAAATGGAGCTTCCACTAGCATGCTTGCGGCAAAGGAAGAACCATAGGTTATCAGCAGATGGCCAAAGAAAATCCATACCTAAATAGACGAAAAATGTAACGGAAATAAGAGTATAAATTATACGAACTGTGCACATAATTAATTTTGTCATACACAATTATACTCATTAATGCATTACCTTTATTTTCAGATTAAATTTTAGTGTTTTATTTAGGTGTCTTGTAGAACAAATATCATACAAATTGAAACAAATGAAGATTTCCCCCTATATTATATTTACGCTATTTGTACTGTAAGTCTTTTTTTAAATAGCCAAACAGCTTCTGTGACAGAAGTAAATCTTATTTCTTACGTACTTGTGTATGTCGCTAAGATTCCAATTAGATTTTAACCACAATTTTTGAATAACATCATGTAATTTCACTTGAAGAAATACGAGTACTTTCCAAAAATTCGCATTTATATTGAAGTTTAAATTATATGCATACGTAAATTAAAATTTGATATTAGGATAAAAAGATTTTTCTTCGTTTTTGAATGTTTGTCATACTTAATGTCCAGATTTATGTGTCGCTGCCATATTCCAGTTCACTATAACGGTAAACTAAACTATAATTCTTAGTAAAGAAAATTCACCTATTGCTGCTAAAGTAAAATAATAATAATAAATAATAATAATAATAATAATAATAATAATAATAATAATAATAAATAAATAAAATAAAAAAAGAGGGACTTAGATTAGTCTAAATAATAGTAGACTCACCTAGAAGGTCCAGTACGACAGATTTAAGTGGAATTTACACACTGATATAAAGATAATTGCCATTTCCTTTGAATTTCAACTGAGACAAACAAATATTGTTTCCTTTGTGAATGGAAAAGGTTAATACTGGACATATTAGCATGTGGACACTTAAATACTACAGTAGGGCAAAATTAAGAGTGTTATTAAAGTTATGGGTGCAAATAGTTTAGGATTCACGTAAAGTGAGTGTTCGAAATTCGCCTTCTCTTTGTGTCTTTGCAGCACTGAACTGTATTTAATCCCCAATGAGGGTAGCCAGATGTATCCACTAAGAGGAATGCATCGAATGGTCACTTGGCATTGTACCCACCTGCCGATGGATACAATGCCAAGTGAAAGCAACGAACATGACGTTGGAAAATCATCGTTGGCACAAGTTAGCACGTGTTTCTAGAGCTATCTACATGATCCGTGTTTTCACGTCATACATTTAAATACACGGGTACATATCCATACTATTGTCTAAAGTAAAGACGAAATTAAACTCTCTGTTTCTAGCAATACATCACGTTCTCCATTTGCACACTCTGCTAGCTATTTATCATTCAACACAACATTAAGAAAATTTCCTTCATTAAATTACAAATTACCTGCACTTGAGAGAATTTTATTACCGCAAAGCAAAAACTAATTAAATATAATTAAACTATAAACAAATCTATTTGTTATTAAGTTTTACGAGTTGAATAAATTTACAGAGTTATAATACAGGATTAATACGAGGGTTGGGGCAAAAGTCATGGCAACTATTTTTTTCTTGTAGATATGTGAACGGATCACAAAACATATATGTGTCATGTGGAAGTTCTGCAGGCATAGTGTGTATACAGAACAACAGATGGCTCTGTGATAGCTGGCTGTGTGGTAACGAGGGCTCTGAAATAAGTCAGTTGGTGAGTGTCGTGCGAGATGGAAATAACTAGTGTTGAGCAGCGCGCTTACATCAAAATAGCCGTTCTCCGAGGGAGAAATGCGATGGAATGTCACAGTGAATTAGTAGAAGCCCTTGGGAATAATGCCCTATCATATCGTACAGTAGCACGGTGGATAAGAAAGTTTCAGCAAGGACGTGTGTCAACCAGTGATGAGCAACGTTCGGGACGACCGGTGAGTGTGCCGCCATCGAGCACCTCATGGATGAAGACAGACGATGGACGTTACTGGAGTTATAGAGGGTAAGTGGCATCGAGAAACGCACCGTCCACAGGATATTTCCGCGGAGTGGCGACATCCTGGATCACCAAGGCAGCAGAAGGTCCGTCAGAATCCTTTCCCAGTCAAATTGATGGTGATCGTCGCGTATGACGTCAGGGGTATCATTGTTTGCCACTTTGTTCCTCATGGCAGAATAGTGACCGCACGGTTCTACAGGGACTCATGTCAACTTTATGTATATTGTGTTATCATTCTTTTGCACGGTGAAGGCCATATTGCCCTTGTATACTACCGTAATAAATTTGTGTGTTACGATACTTTCAGTGCTTATTCGTTGTCCCCACATGTAGTTAAGACCTTGTCCTTTCATCTGTATATATCATATTTTCCAACCGGACTGGTATCTTCAAGAAAAAAAAAAAAATAGTTGCCATGACTTTTGCCCCAACCTACGTATAATATGCACGAGTTATGATATGCGATTTTTTAAAATTTTTTAATATATTCAACAATGCGAAAAAACACTTATTCAGCATTATATAATTTTAATCAGATTATCAACCATATTTAAAGTCCTGAGCATGCCGAATTATCGGACACTTGCGTACAGTACTTGCTATTAATTAAAAATCATTGCAGGTTTCAATTTCATCATTCCAGAAAAACTTTATCATAACATATAATTAACCTGAATAACGAATGAATATTATGCTATATTTATGTTTTTTTAATATTTTCACGTTGAATAAATATTTATAAAAAGACGTTTTTAAAGTAATAAAAATAGACCGATTTAGTGGTCTAGCGATATTTGTTTTTTAGTAATACTTCTACTTAGAGGAGTATGGAAATTAAACTCCTAGATTTTGTATTCACTATTCTGTGGCTGTAGTAGACATGACTTTCACAATTTATGATGAGGTGTCACGATTCACAGAAAGATATATGTTGTCGTGCCACAACATCACACACCACAATCTGTGAAATTACTTATGTAGACCTATAATTTCCGAGTAAAATAGAAACGGCTTGCGCTTGAATTTAGAAAGTTCCTTTAGAACAATATTTGATAGTATAAAACCCGACATAGCAGACATACAAAGAGAAATGAACATACAAAGGGCTTGCTTTGAATAAAAATTTAAAAATCTGCATTAACGTTGGAGAATTTCTAATATTTTATTTTTGAGGTATAATAACTGCTAGAAAAATTTAGTTATATTGCGATAGTTGCACAGAACAGTTATTTTATTGTAAATATTGTATTTATAAAATAAAAATCGAAATTTGTTGATGTAGTTAAAATTTTTGAAAGTTATACGTGCTTATTGATTAAAGAATGAAATTTTTCAAGTGCCTTAGGGAATAAATTTTTGTTTTCAAAATTATGTATGGAAGGGAAATGCAATCAGAAGAGTTGATGCCTTTTATATTTAAACTTCCGCATTCTATATGCAAGATGTTAAAAGGAGAAATCGTCTATAAAATCGGTTATTTCTTTTATTATTTATGTTAAGTTTAAGGTGATAGTTAAAGAGAAAGCATCAGAAACTATCATAGGTGCCACTTAAACAATGAATAATTTTGTAAAATTTTTATGTGTCATCTGAACGGATATTACTCAAGCCATAGATTTACCATAAAGCTAATTAGAGTATTCAATCTAAAATCTATAATACTAATTATAACAGGTTTCCATCAAATTCCATCATTACAGAAGTACAAAGACCTATTCTGTCAAGTTATTTAACGAATATCATAGAAAATACAACACACTGTAATGACTGTAACAGATGGTCCTCGCACATTTCCTCTATTTTTGACGTGACGGGAAATTATCTCCTAAATAAGCCCCTCAAGTAAATTATTTTAGTATAAAAGCCTGGTTATCCTTATACAAAGTGTCTGAAATGTTTTACGTTTAATGTTTCATTGCCAGTTCTTGCCATTATTCGATGTTTAGTAATTTAGCAGAAGCTTTATATTTATTTATTTTTCTATACAGCACTCGTGATTTATACAGTTTTAGCTCAGAACCTATATCCTTATTAAGAGTACTTTAAAAATTATTATACTTCGGAATAGAACTTAGTTTTACGTGCTATAGTCTTTCATCCGATATTAGGGAAAAGTGATCGTTGATTTATTTATTTGTGGCAATTTTTAACTTCGTAAATTCTTTAGCTTTCATATTTCTGTATAATAGGAATTCTTAATAAAATGGAAGAAACACCGAATTTTGTACGCAGAAGTTATGAAACAGTTTAAATTTAATTTAATGGATAATGAACATTTTACTTGTTGAATTTGTTGATCGACGAGGACCATGTGACAAGTTAGATTTTTAATTGCAGCCAGTTCTTTTTAATCACCCTTTTAGGAACACAACGTTAAGTATTCATAATTATGAACCTATATGACCAATTTATTCAGCAATAATTCTTGTTTTTTCTCTGTAATTATAAGCTTTAAAATTAAAGTAATTTTCAGACGTATTTCTTTTTTTATAATGCATAATTTTTAAGAAATAAATATTTTATATTTTTTGTATGCTATATAAAAATATTCATATTCATAAAGAACCTTCAAAAACCCTTCCATCAGAATTTTTAAGTAAAAGACCTATATTTCACGCTATTATTTTAAGATGAAAATGAAAGTTCAAAATTTGATCTTAGTACTTACTGCAAAATAATGCGTTGTTTGGACATTCATCCGGGCGTTTCCAAGAGCAGCTATCTGTACGATAGGGTGTATGAGGTATGCACAATAAGTCAGTCTTCCAAGTGGTACCCAACATTTCCAACTTAAGATATAATTTACGACACCTATTATGCATATGAAGAGATATAACTATATAATACTGATTTTACAATTATAATCACAGCACCGAATTTTGGAATTTTAATTCTTGAAGTGAAACAAATTTCTAAACTCGCGAATATCTGAGAAATTCCAGTGTTTGCAGTCTATAATAATAACAATAAAATATTAGTCTTGATATAATAAATAATCATTCAATAAAGTCTCTATATAATAAAAATTGCATTTATATTTGTAGGGAATATGCCTTTTACTAAATGTAACTTGTGGCAAATCCTCAGTAAGACTGTAAGCAACTTACCGCGATGTCTAAGATGAGAAAAAAGTATAAAAAGGTATACAAGACAGTTTTATTTAAAATTAAAGAAGTGGAATAGAATGTACACCTGGTGCTTACAAATCAGGCAGCAATTATTGCGAGAATTCAAAGTAGAATTTTAAATTTAAAACTAAATCCAAATATCTATTAACCAATGAAATTTAAACGCCAAAGTTGGCCCTTGAGCTTACACCGGCATGAAAGTACTATCGGCAAGAATAAAGTAACGGTGGAGATAGAAACTCTTATCTTAGAGCAAGAAATTTGTAACGTGGCTTTCAGCAGGCAGAACACGTTCTGTCTAAACAATCTCAAATCCACTTCGAGGTAATTTGCATTCTGGAAGGAAAATAGAAAGAGGGAACAACACTACAGGTTCAGAACATAAAATAATTGACATAAATAAACCCTACATATTTAAATGACAAATTTAGAAGTTATATAAAGCTTTTTTTTTTTTTTTTTTTTTTTTTTTTTTTTTCAGACGGATGGTGTTACGAAAGATAAAGACTCAAACCCAGGATTTATAGATTTGCTTACAGACAAACGCTTTAGGTTCTTCGCAGAAGATAAAAGGAAAGAAAATGCGTATGCCTCAAGAAGATTTAAGCCACGGATCTTCTAGTGCTAGTCGAACGTGCTACCATTTACACACACAAGAGTGCGATGGCAGAATGTGATAATTCCTTACATTTTAATCAATTTAATATACGACTGGAACGAGACCCAACTAACCAAATCCAAATGATGACTAATTACTATCTACCACATTTTAGTTTATGTGTTACTGTAGAGACATTAAGTCAGCCATATCCTCACACAGATTTGAACTACGGATCTTCCAACTGCTAGCGCGAAGTTAGATGCTAGTTGCACCAAGAGAGTATGCATGGGGTCATGATTCCTTGCGGTTTTACTAAAATAGCTAACAAAACTGATCACTTTAATTTCTTCAAAACACAAAACGTGAGAATTCTTACACTTTTCCAGGATCAATTAAGAGGACAACATATAAGATGCAAATGAGGATCTGACAATTGATTTTAAAATTAGTGTTTTACAGAAAGCATCTTTATTTTACAATTTTCTTTTAGCTGGTGACCCCCATCAGTGGCCAGGTGTTTGAGACCGCTGAATATTGATATTCGGCCCGGGTTCGAACTCTGACGAACAGGCAGGTTGGTAACATACGTGTTTTCTGGCGACTTTTCTCTTACGCAAAGAAAACACGAACTAGTTTCCTTTAAAAAGTTTAGGCTTCCCCATCATTCGGCAGATAGCCCTTGTGTGCCTTATCGTATTCAAATAACTTAACCTTTTATCTGGTTTTCCAGAATTATTTTTTCAACAAGACGTGAAGTTGGTAGTTATCTGTATGATCTATGTTGATAGTTATCTGCACCATACCAAAAGCAGGATTCTGCACACTTTTTTCTTCCTATTTCTTTCCTTCCTTAATTTTCTAGGTTGATTTTTGATGTAATATACTATGATAAAACATCGATGTATTTATTCCATTTGAATAGCAAGAATTAATTTTAATAACTCAATATATTTCAAGAAAAGTACGTAATACATAACGTTATGTAAATACGCAAAGCAATGTAAACATTAAGATATAACAGGTCTTTTTCTATCTTAATATCGTTTTCAATAATTTCAGGTAATTATCTTAATATATTTTTCAAATGTTTGCTTTTGTAAGAAGAGTATTGTATCAAGATTAGCATTTTAAGGGAAAAGGTTATCCTACAATGGGAATAAGAGTGATAATACATAAGTATCTTATGACCGATGTATACGAAAGGAGACCCGATGGGTAGCATTAATTATTGAGAAATTAGTTTTTTCTTAATTACTTGCAAAATATTATCCAAAATTTTGTTTTCAAAACTATCGACAAGAACTGATTCACTGACCCGAAATTATCAACGAAGATTTCGTGCTGGAAGATCAACTAAGGACTAAATATTTTTTCTGAGCCAGATTATCGAAAAAACAGTGGAATTTAATATTGAAACTCGTCATCTCTTTATAGGTTTTAAGAGATAATTGAGAGGCTTTCCTTGTCCTTAAGTTGGTGTCAGGTAAAATGGGTTTAGTTATAAATGAGAAGAAAACAAAATATATGTCTTAAAAAAATAGAATCCCAGCTTTTCATCTTGAAATAGGAATTTAAATCTGTACAGAGTTTTATCTATTTGGGATGTATTACGGCAACTGATAATAGATTAGCTGAAACACAGAATCAACTCTATTTGGCAAATAAGACTTTCTATGGATTAAAATTTTTCAGATTTAGATTTCTTTCAAGAAAAATGAAGGTTTTGATTTACAAAACACTTGTTGAGACCTGTTTTGACGCACGCTTCTGAGACTTGGACAATGACAAAACTGGAAGAAAATCGTATTGAAACTTTTGAAAAAAAATTACGGAGTATTCTTGGTGGCATAAATGGAAGTAACATCTGGAAGAGGAGATATAGTTTTGAGTTTTAGAAGATATACAAACCAGCTGATATCTTAAAATATATAAATATTAATACAATGAATTAAATTGCTCAGGTGATCCGAATGCCAAACGGCAGAGTTATTAAAAAAGGTACTACTTTTTAAACCTACTGGAACCCGAAAACGAGGAAAACAGCAGCTGAGATGGGCAGTCGGGTCTTCTAAAAGCTAATGACAGAAACTGGTTATCGAAGATAACCTAACTGTCGTCATGGAAATAAAGGCATTGGCCCACAATGGAGGGGGTGTCTGGCTACTTATAATGATGATGATGAGAGTGATAATATACACTCATGTCCATAAATTAAGGATAATTCGGAGTCACGCGGAAATCGAACTCTAAAATAAATATATCACCTGTAAAATCACTACACACATCTTCAAGAATCATATGCAAATTTCAGGAAATAACCAGATGACACCGATGGGACGTGACAATGACGAGAGTCTAAGACAGTGATATACAAGGAATACAGGCAAAGAAGTAAAATTGGTCGCAGGCGCTTTATAAGCATTTCAGTGCAATAGCCGAATAGTTATGACACAAAGGAAGCATTTGGATGATTTTTTACGTGGTAGAATTATTGGCCGTCTGGAATGTGGGCGTACCCAACTGGAAGTATCAGACGAACTTGGAATTGCCCAGAGTGTCATCTCCAGGTTTTGGCAACGATTCCAAGATGATGGTAATGTGAGTAGATGTTACAGCACAAGTCACCCCAGAGTTACAACGCCGAATGAGGACCGGTATTTGGCAGTTACTGCCAAAAGAAACAGGAGAAGCACAGCCTCAGACCTGTCTCGTCAGTTCTCTTCAGCCGCTGGTAAGGCAGACCGTGTACAGACGCTTAGGGCAGATTGGTCTATATGCTCGTAGACCTGTCAGATGCGTTCCACTTACTGCAACTCACTATCGCCTGCGGTTAGCCTGGAGTAGAAAGCATGCATTGTGGACACCGCAACAGTGGGCTTGTGTGATGTTTTTCGACGAGTCCAGGTTTACCTTGCGGTCTGATTCTCGTCGTACTTTCATATGGAGAGCTCCAGGTACCCATTACCACCAAGAAAACATGATTGAACGACACCGTTAATCATGGTGCAGGAGTGCTCGTTAGGGGTGGAATTATTCTGGGTTCCAGAACTGACGTGCATGTTCAAATTGGAACCATGATAAGCCAAATCTATCGGGACGTCATTCTGGAACAACATGTACGTTTGTTTCGGGGCGCCATGGGCGCACAATGTGTGTTTATGGATGACAACGCCTGTCCTCATTGTGCAAACATCGTAAGCGAATGCCTCCAATCGGAGGATATCACCCGTATGGACTGGCCGGCATTCTCACCGGACTTGAATCCAGTAGAGCACGTGTAGGGCATGCTTGGCGGACGAGTTGAAGCCCGTCAACCTCCTCCTACATGTCTACCGAAACTTCGGAGAGCATTGCGTTTTGAGTGGTGTCATATCCCCTAAGGTCAGATCGATAATTTGATACTCAGCATGCCTAGGCGTTTTACGGACTGCATTGCATCGTCTGGGAAACATACAATGTATTAACAATCATACCAACCATGTAATATTGTTTTTTTTTTTTTTTTTTTTTTTTTTTTTTTTTTGTAAATAGACTTTTTTTTTTTTTGTAATTTGCTCCAGGGAGAAAAAATCGCTAATTTTTTTAATAATATCAAACATATAGCATCTTTTTTTTTGCTCTTTACCTTTTGTTTAATAAAGAAGCTTTACAAATAAGTCAAATTTGTTTTGCTTCTAACTCTTCCTTTGCCTGATTTTGCATTATCCTTAATTTATGGACATGAGTGTATATCTATAAATGACTTCATGATTAAAAGAATTAAATTAGCTTTCTAGTTCCTTCAAATATTTAAAATATTTTAAATTTACCAATAAGTATATTCATTATTTCAGCAGTTCACGTATTATCAGTTTTTCATAAAGGAACATCTTCAGTTCATTTATCTCCAAATAGATAATACTCGCAATGTATTGGTATCGCTATTGTTTTCAAACTGAAACAGATGTTAGCAAAAAGTAGTCTTTTTTAAGTAATTATATTTTTAATTGGTTATATATATATGTATAAAAGATTCATAATCGGAAAGTTTTTAAACGCTTTAAACATCATCGAGGGTTTATCTTGGTTATGCCATAGATGCTAGGTGAACCAAGGCCTAGAAAACAATAGTGACCTCTTATGCGGCACTGATAAATAACTTAGGAAGACTGAACAGAGAGATCAATCGTTTTGCAGATTATATCCAAGTTCAGTAGCGGAGCTTAAAAAAACTTTCCATCTGATTGTGTGTAATCTAAAATTTCACCTTGCTTGAGATCAAAAGTACCAAACCGGAACTTCTGCAAAGTGGTAACAAACTGCATGATCAGATACATATCATTTGTGGCAACATCAAATGAGAAAATACTAGTATGGCGTCGAGAATATGAAATTAAAATCCGCCTTACCAAGCTGCTGAATGTGTGGTTCACTGGCTCATGATTGTGTAAGAAACCTTTTTATAAGGCTGTTTAGATAGCTTAATTTGTTGGAGAAATCCTTACATGTTGCAAAATGCTGGAATTGGTTTAACTGGTTATATGCGTTACCAGCAGTGTATGAAACGCTGGCATTCCATAGAAATCAGTTTAAGCCAGAAGGTTTTAAGCAAAGTATGAAATATGAGAATTATTATACGCTTTTAGTAGGCATTATGCATAATACCTAGCCATTGTATAAAATGCTATTTGGACTAGGTATGAAAAAACGTCATGATAAGGATATTATTTAAAAGAAGTGCATTCGTCGAAAATGCAAAAGCTATTTAAAAAAATAATGAAAGAGCGCCATTAAATCTTTTATTCAAAATAAGTAAAGAAAAGTGAAAGTCCTACAGAAAGTTGTACAAAACAAAATTTACACCTTTCTTATTAAAGGAGAAATGCATGGAAATGTTTGAAATGTATGGAATTATGGAATGAATGTATTAAATGTATGCATTATGCATGGCATATGAATGAATGCATTAAATGCACGGATATTTGAAATGATTCAGAGATGTATTTCATAATTTGTCGGCTTGTCATTTGGCATTCTCCAAAATGCCAAATGGAAATGTATGAAATGTTAATCGTTTCATACATTTCCGGCCAGTTTTCGGTTATTATGTAAAATGTCTAGGTATTCTATAGAATATCGGTTTTTATTCATTGCCGGTAACATATATAGTCTTTCGTAGCCATCTTGTATTCTGAAGAAAGATATTTATTTATCAGAAGACGCAAAGGCACAATTCAACGAACACTCATTTAGACTTAGATCATTGAGTGGCTTACAATATCTTTCGATTGCAGCTCTTTTAAATTTCTATTGGATATTATTGAAAGAAATGTAAAAAAATATCCAAGACCACGCATCCAAGATGAAACTATCGTAGAAATAATGAAATTATTGTGAAAAATTATCCTAATTCGAGATTAATATCTAGGATTCATCTGAAAATAGTTAAATTTCTTCTGCCTTTTTCCAGCACCTGATAAAATCTATACGTGTTTTTACAGCTGTTATTCATTGCAAAGAAGGGCTGGCAAGATGTTAGTGAGACGTTTTTATTTTTTTCTCTTTTAATGATCTTTGATCATCTGTTTCATACCTACACGCATATCTATATCATGAAAGATTGGAATAGTGTATTTTGGGATATGAAAATATAATTTTAGCAAAACTGAAGTACTGTTAATAAATTATTCTTCCAGGTATTAAATGCTTGAAAGAAATTTACCTCCTTGACCAGTGGCACAGTTTACTACCATCCATGCTAAACCAAAAGTCCAGGCGACGCGGTGGAAGCCACTGTAAAATAAAGTTTCTATCAATTCTGGATCTCTTCCAACATTCCAGTCATAAACTCCATATAGGACTGCCATATTGCAAGCAATGGCAGCGCACCAACCGACAAAGCGAACAGGCTGGAACAAGAAAAAATACTTTGTATCAAAATAATTTTTAATAGGTCAGACAATTAGAAAATAATTAACAAGTTTACAACCAAGCTAAAATTCATTTTGCATCGGCATTTGCTTTGAAAATTTATTTGTAGATTTACAGTCGTATGTGATAGGGTCATACGAATTTCAATGTCTTTCCCACAAACTCCTCCCTAATAATAATGCAAAGACAGAACTTAAATATAATTCTGGGAGTCATTAAACATACTTTTAATTTTTTAAAAAACTTCCTACAGTAAAATTTTGAAATCTGTTGGAAAGTTTCGAGTTTTTTGGCATATTTGAATTAAATTGTCTTGCTAATTTCACTCGAAAATTAATGCAAAAGGAAGCGTATGCACGATTTTTACATCCTTGTACGAAGTAAAAAGGAAGTATTGTAATCGCGAAAAGTTTTAGGCAGCATATTTCAAAGAAAATATCCATTTTGACCGCTAGCGAATGCAATTTAACGATGTTTTTGCGTGATATCTGTACGTAAGGACAGAATAAAAGACACCTTTCCTCCAAAAAAATTATAAAACTGCTTTGAAATGAATTCTGAAGAGAATTTTTCGTGCCGTCTCTACGAACGTATGTACGTACGTACGTATCTCGCATAACTCAAAAACGAGTAGCCTCAAAACGTTGAAATTTTGTATATAGGACTGCTATAACATGTAGATGTGCACCTCGTATTTTGGTTGCAATCGGCTGCGCCAAACGTATATAAATATATTTATATATATATCCACTCTGTTACGCGGCTCAGTGATCTCAGTTTATTTACTCTTACATGTTTGTAAATTGTACATTTTTTGCTTTAAAAATAATTAATTGAATTATGTTGTTCTTATCTTCCGGTTAAGGTTTTTATGCCTTTAGTAAATCTGTAGGCAATATGTTTAGAATTATTAACAATTTTAAAGTTGTTTAAGTGCCGCTAAGCCTAATAATTTTTTGGATGGCGGCCATTGCTTGTTTACATTTGAAACAGCAGGATAGTGGATTTGTTGCCAATCTAGAGAAACTTACCTTCGAAAGATAAAACGCCTTCATTCATTATTGTGAATTAAATCATGCTTAATCCTGTCTGGAATTTTTTCGAGGAAATAAATGTTTAAGATTTACTTCGTAAATTTTAATACAGATATTTTGAGTTTTTATGTATTTTTGCCTTGTCGCGAAGTGAGAACTTAATTAATTGAATGATAAATACTCAATCGTCTGTGAAAAACTGATTCTTTTTTGTTTTGTTCGCTTAATTTCTTTTATACATCGTTCTAGCTTTATTATAGTATTTGAATAGAACATGTGACAACGATTACATAATTCTTTAAATGACAGAAATTTTGTGCATTCTGAGTTATAATATGAGCGAAATACAATGCTGTTAAGTGAACCTAGCGCCAGACTGTAAAGAATGCATTTATTCTATTGTGGTTTATGCGCAGTCGGCGAAGTACATTTAATTCAATCCAATAAATTTAAATGAAATGCAAGAAAAAATGCGTATAATTTAATATTTCGTACAAGGAAGTCATGTGGTGTACACGTCAGATTTTTTTTATTGTATCGAAGTGATTTCAGAACTTCTCATGTATGTAAGAATAGATAGATATACATGTAAAAAAGTACAAATAGAAGAGCGTCTATTTCGGAGACATCATAACAGTTGATACATTGTGTAGGAAAAAAAATAACATTATTTGTAGCTATTTCCTCTTACTAATAACAAGCTTCTGAAGCACCTGTCGACTTGAGGAAGGATTTGAGGAAGTTTCAGTTGCTTTTATAATATTTTTCGTATATACTATATTACTATTCATCGCTAACAGTGTTTCACTTAGTGACGAGCTGAAGTAAATTTTTGCAAAGTTGAAGTTACTAAAAGGACGTTCTTTCATAAAAGATTTTAAGATAACACGCACGATTTTAAGATAACACGTTTTGTAAAAATTCCTCTGTAGATAAATAAAATTGAGTAATTCGTAAGCATAGAGTTTTTACGAAATTCTGTCGATACAGTCTCTAATGTTAATAGATTCATATAAACAGCAAACTTTTATTAAATTTTAAATTTTTTATTACTTCCTACATTTGGAAAGCAATATCTTATTTTTAGAAAATATAAGGCTGTACTTACCAAGGAAAACTTCAAATCGGATCGAGTTGCCAACAAATAGCCAATCACAAGTCCTATGCAATAGGGACCGGCATGTGAATATGGTTTGAAGTATGCGTTAGCCCAGTACGCTATCCTCTGACTAAAAAAGCACAAAGTAAGACCAAACTTATTTTCAGTTTGGAAACATTATGCAGCTGCATAGGGAACAAAATAATTCACAGAGAAATTAAGAATTATTTTCGTTGGATTATTCTAAAGAACTTTTTTTGTATTGTTCTTAATTTGTACATAATTACTCTACCAAGAAGGCATTTTCACTAATAGATTTTAAATATAGTTCTTTTTTATATCAGAAAATACCTATAGACTATGTTCGAATTTCGCTTCCAGGAATACTTCCTAAAAGTATAAAGCATAAAATGAAAATGATTAGAGCAATAGACTGGCTTCACGAATTACTTTGCAGGAAGTTCCCAGTTTACTAATTCTGATATTAGAAATCGTATACTAATTCAAGATATATTAGATAGTTCCAGATTTATATTAACAATACTAAGTATTTATATTAACGATAATTAGGTAGTAATTTCATCCTGGAGCAAAAAAAGGCAAAATTTCTCCGTCACATGCAATAATAATATCGAAATCCAAGATTTACAAATACATTAATATATCAAAGGGAGAGGTGTCTATCAGAAACGAAATAATTAGACAAATAACTAGAATATAGAACCTTTTAGATGAAAATTACATTTATAAAGTAATCAGATTATGGACGATTATTTCAGGTCAAAATTCACATTTAACTTTTCAAAGTTTTTTAAATATTATTAAATACACGAACACCAGTATTAAGTAGCAATTTTTTGAAAAGTGATATTTCAGCACTAAAATTGTTTGTGAAATTGTTTAGCATTGAAATTGTAACTTTGTTTTTTCTTGCACTTCAGAATGAACGAACAAAATTTCCAACGAAATTCAGAGTACTTAAAAATTTAGTTTGGAATTTGAAATTCAAGTATTTTTGCGGAAATTTTGATAAAATGAAGCACACAAATTATTTAAATATGGCAAAAATAATCTAAAAATTATAATAGAAATTTAAAAATAATGGGAAAAAATTAGAACTGCGCTGACAAATTCCGGAAAATTCGCGAAAATGATCCCTGCAAAATTCACGTCATTGTGATATTATTATCATCCTGAAAACGTGATTAGGTCTTTCCTTCCCGCTGTTTTAAAGTTTACACATTATTTCTCACTGACTTTAATTCATGAGTCCTCGATTACAATATTTCTTTAAGCAGATATTAAATTTTACAGAAATTTTGTAGAAGATTATTTTTTAATATATCAACAATGATTTTGCATCTTTTTACGGATTCATATATAACATGCATTTAAAAAATATGACCGCGATTTGGGAAGAAAAAAGGGGAGGGGACAACATGAGTAAAATTATGTTTTTTCTATCTCAGTTGAGACATTTTGGTTTCCTTTGCAAGTCTTTGTCTTGGAAGCTCTCCAAGTATTTAAATGATCGAGCTTTCATTACACTTAGATTTTTGCATTAATTATGTAGGAATTATGTATGGTAAAATTAATTAATTATGTTAAATTAATGTTAATTATGTATGGTAAAATTTCCACATGGCATTTGCAAATCCTGCTTGAAAGTATGGAAGTTGCCAGATACGACACTGTTATGACAATTTACATTATTATTATAAAAGAAAAAATAATAATTAAAAAGTCTGAAAGCTTTCAGATTTTATATTACGCCCAAAGGAGAGTTTTTTAACGTTTTGTGTGTAACCTTTATTTATTAAATATCATGCTCATATTCGGGTGGAGACGTACGTTATTCAAAATTTGATGGCTCCTAGTACCCAATCCTAGTGAGAGAAACATTCACACATTTATGCAGATTCTTCATTATTTAATTTCTTTAAATCTAATACAAGGCTCTAATATTTGGGGGCAACAATTTAAAAAGTGATTCACCATTTTAAGAGAATGAACGCAAATTTCCAAAACGAAATTAATAGTCTTTCTGGGAAAATTGCCCCTTTGGGGTAAAAATTACATTTACGTTAATTTACATTGTGAGTTGTATTAATTACATCCACTGAATTAATGTAATAAATTTACTTTTCTTGACTTCGCTTCATTTTAAAATTAAACATAGGTTAAATCCAAAATTAGCACATTAATCTCATTGTGCCTAGTTGTTTACTGGCAAAAATATGGAATTAAGCTTATGAGAGAGCACAATTTCATGGACGAAATAAAATTTTATTTGTAGATGATACTCAGTGGGGCATATGATTATCTTTCTAAATTCTAATGAAAATTATAATATAGGAGATGGTCAGTATTATATCGAAAGCATAATTAAATTTAACTGGTTACGTTATAATTAGCATAAATGAGCTACATAGCTCTTATGCATAAACATAAACAACTGTAGATTTTCAAAGAAATATTTTATTTCCTCGTTTAATAAATTTTCTTAATACGCCAAGTGAATCACAATTACTTAATACGCCAAAGTGAATCACAATTACTTACTCTGGATCTGGATGCACAAAGAGCATTGTTGGTGGATATTCGTAGACGTACGTCATGACAGCTGTGCCTATGATAGATGCGACGACACCCATCCATGCGATACTCAAACCAACGCGAGGCCACCTAAAAGAGGTTAAACAAAATTAAGATATCCCATTTCAGGAAAACAAATACACTTAAATGCTTAAATTCTTTACAATATAAAATAGCTTGTATTTATATAGCGGAACCGGTTAAGTGAATTAATTATGTTGGGTTGATGCATAAGTTCATGCAGTTTGTACCAGAATGTTTTTTAGATCCCTCTAAGGACGACAATGGATATTCCAAACTGTAGCAAATAATACGCCTCACATCCATATGAATAAGAATGGATTTGTTTCGGTTAACCAGGTTTTCTTTTTCTAAAGTATGGAGTTGGTTTTAAGGAAACTAATAAATGAATCATCTCTGATATTCTTTTCTCTATGAGTTCGACAAAGGTTCCAGCGCTGTAAATGCTTCCAGAAACATTTGTGCTGAGCATAAATAACAGGATTATGCTGAAGTAACAGTCCGAAAAGAAACTGACAGTTTCCATTAGAGAACTTTAGATTTCAGCGATACCCTTGAGATCACACATCCACTTTGTTGAGAAATGTTTGAACAACCAGATCCATCTTTATTCACATCAAACAACTTACGAATTTATGTGCTGTGACTAACTTCAGCGTTTCTATCTAAAATTTTAAGAAAAAAGCCAACGTAAAGACATGGCATCATGATTTACATGGATAACTCCAGAGCGCAACCGTTAAACATGACAAAATTGATATTCATTAGCTTAAATGAGAGGTTTTCCAGGCCCGTTATATTCTCCACATATGGCTTCCACAAATACCACCTTTTTAAAATCACTGTCAAACGGACTCAGTGGTAGACGTTTCGCCAGCGATAATCAGCTAAACACTTGGATGAGTTTTATGCACCCAGACTAGTAGAGGAATATCATCCAAAAACTGTTAGAACAATGAGAACAAATTGTGAGCAATCCAGAGAAATACATTAATGATACATCATGTGATTTGTTTAACACTGAAAGGAATTCATGTGCTGACTGGTAAAACAATGGCATTAATTCTTGCATCTACCCTAGTTTTATTAATTTTACTAATTACTAAATATATATTTATGTAGATCGATACATTGGACCTCAGGAAGAATAGTTAAGATGATAAATACCAAATTCATTCTCATTTTAAAACGTATATAAGATGATTAATTGAAGAAGTTAAAATATTTCTATGTCATGTCAATATTATAAATGGTCAATTAATAGCATAAAGCCTCATTCTTGCCTTTGAAGTTGATGCAGTTGTTAAAAATTGCAGTTGATTAATTTAAATTTTCCCAGTCAAGCTGATATTTGCAGTATGTCGAACAATTCATTTGAAGACTGTTATACGATTTTAGATTATTTCAAATGAAAACGATCGTTCACATTCTTATTTCAAAAGACACTCACAATTTGCTATGCATAGCTTCTTGAAGAAACATCTTAAAAGAGTGAAAGGAAGAAAAGAAATCATCAGTTTGTATCCATCAAAATCAATTCATAGTAATCTATCATTGTCTCTGGTCTGTCTAATATGAATTACTTGATTAATTGAAATGGTAGTGATACATTTGTGGAAGATTTCCTAAGGTAAATTGGCTGATATTTTCCTAATATGTGGGAAAAGCCACGAAAACGTAACTGTACACAACCCAAGCTAAACTGTTCAATGGTTTCGTCCACTGGGGGGCTTTGCCTGATATGGGAGGTCTGAAGTGCCATAACAGGCTTAACTACTTAGACAAATGCATTTTAAATCTCATCTGGTAAAACTCCTATATGCTATTAATTATGAAAATCCCTCTTTTATGCAAGCATTGCATAAAATAAGCATTGAACAATATTTTCAATTTCCACCTATTATGGAAAAAGCAAAAGTTCTTCTTCGGCTTCTTTCGTAAACGAAAATAAGTGTGACATTTGGTTTACGTTTTATTAACAGTAAGCTTTATTTTGATTTCTTTGCTTTGTTTTGTCACGGACTCCACGTTTTGAAGACTATGTAAATTTTATGACAAGCGGAGTAAGTTACGTGAAAATCGTAACCGATGATTCTGAGCAGAATTCCGACAGCTGAATGTTCTTGCTTGCCTAAAAGAGCTGTTCATCTGATTGTTTCGGCCCACCAGCGGCCGAGCGCTAAAGTAGCTGAACACTGGTAGTTCGATCAGAGGCTCGAATCCCGCAAACGGGCTGGCGTGTTTTAGTTGTTTTCCTCATGTGTAATGTGTATACGAGCCAGTTTCCCGTATAAAGTCTTCCACGAAGGCATCCCTCCCCTTAGGAAGATAGCCATGTAGTGTTTTGCCGTAATCACGTAAACTAAGCTATCTGATTGCTTCGCTTAGTGTTGTTGGATTCTAAGCCGTCTAATATAGTATATATGGATTAACATAATCTTTGTCAACAAGGAGTTAATAGTTTATTATTATTTTTATATGTAATTGCATAAGTTGTAGGTTAAGTTTTATGCCAATTTTCCCTTTTAAATTCTATCTTGTGCCCATAGAAATAGTGAGGCGATCGATAATTCGCCAACCAGTTGAGAAAACTTTTAAAGAGTAGCTGTTAAATGCAACAATTAGCTTGAGTTAAGCAATTTTAGTTAATTTGACACCTTTAGATGTTATCTGAGTATTACATAATGCTTTATTAAATGTGAGTGTTGTAAAGCGAAAGTCACCTGCATATAGAAATTCCACAAAAAAGGAGAAACCGTATTTCGACAGTGGTTTTGAGTACATATATTATTAAAGATATAAAGTACTCATTTTTAAATAATAAATTTTAAATAAAATAAACAGGTTTACTTCTTAGTAACCAATTTTGAATTTAATATTTCCTTGGAATAATTAACAAAGAGAAAGTTAAAGATACGTACCTTAAAATTGGTAGTAGAACGATGAGCGCTGCAATGTACAGTTGCATATCACAAGCAATATACCAACTTTGAGGCAAGCACTAAAATTAAATAAACAAAGAACACTGTATGCATCATTTGCTTTATTAATCGATGTTTTCGCTATGAAAAATTAGCAACTGAGTTGAAATATTAAGATCTTTTGCTCTCATCTTTTATTTAAGAGTAAGACAAACTACTAAATTTTAAGTTATTTTTATAGGCTTTTCATTCGTGGTGTTTCGCTGTGGGTGAATTAGTTTTAACTTACTTTGCCACAAGCTATTGAGTTCAAATTTCGCACGCACACTATTTGTAGATTACGACGCAATGCTATGAAGCGATTGTTTCAAAATTCGATTTAGATTTTTTTTAAATTAATGTTTAAATGAGTCTTGGCATATATTTTCATTTAACAAACAACCAAAGCATAACAAACTTTTACTATTTGCACCAGCGAGTACAGCGGAAAAAGTCTTTTCAATGAAACTTGTATGAAAATTTCTGAAAATAGCTAGGTTTTTTAAGACTATTTGACGTCTATGGTTTTAAATTTCATCATCTAAAATTTTATCGAGTACAATCTTTTGAAATTTTCATAGAGCATAAAGCAAACTTTACGCCCTCTTTTAAAGCAAGAATGATAAAAGAATATTAATTGAGCGATTTTCTCTACATTATTTTTTAAAAAGCATACGTTGTAGTCTAAAGCAGACGACAGAAATAAACGTTCAAGTAAAGTGCTAGTTCTAAACATTGTTATTACATCCATTTTCTGAAACTAAACATCAAAGTAATTTCTTTATTCTTTGAATGACGTTTAGTTATTTTTCTTCATTTCATAATTTTCTTATAATTTATTGCTTGTGTTTTAATAATGAATAAAAATTTCATCATTGGCAACGTAAAATGGAAACTAAAGACATAAAATAAAATACGATTAAAAGTCTTTTGTAGAATAAAATTTTATTTAAAATTTATATGATAATTAATCCGTTAAAAGGAGAAAAAATTATATATAGTTTAATGATAATAATAGATTAAATATTTCTATTTATAGAATTTATATACATTGTCATATCGGAAATACAAGCCTCGATTGCTTGTATAACGAAATCTATTAATTTAATTGCATTGTCAATTATATAAGGCATTATCCTTTTAAATTTATTAATGGGCTCTCCACGCTTTTATTACTCGCGAAATAGTAGACGAATTCTGTAAATAGAATTATTTAATCAATTATTCCCATTAAACTATATAAAAATTATTTTTCTCTTTTTAATGCATTTATTGTGATACCCATTTTAAATAAAAGCTTACTGTTGTATAAAAAATTTTTTTTTTAAATTGAATTTTATTGACATTTTTTTTCTTTAAGTTGAAAAATACATCGAAGTTTGGCTCCCTATACCTTTAAAATATTCAGTGCTAATTGTTTTAAGAAACTTTCAAAATATCGCAATAACTTAAAATGCATTTCATTCCAGAAGAAATTATTCCAATTCTAATTTCATTGACACATTCTTTAGAAAAATAGTTATGTAACTTACCATTTCATAGGAGTTAACGAAATTGTTGATGAATAGAATGTTTGTCCACCAATTCTTATAGCAAGCATCAACGAACATATCGATAGAATCATGCCATATAGGTCCAGATCCCAGAATAGGAGCCAAGTAAATGAATAATATCACCATCACGTATACAGGCAACAATCTGTTAAAAACAATATATATTGCAAAAACGTCTTCTTGTAATTCATTTATAATCTGAATCTCATCTTCTATTAGTTGCTAAGCAATATCACTTCAAAAAATAAGTCAACAAGTCGACATTAAATTTCATCATTTAGAGTTCGAATATCGGTCAGTAGTATAATATGATCTGGAAATAGCTTACGCTTATCTTTAGCTGAATGATTTATGAAAGATGACTTAAAAATTAAGAAACGTTGCATTTATAGTTTTTCCTGTTAAGATTTGTTAATGGTTAACTTGTTAACCTGATCTGATATTTCCTTAAAAGCAAATAATATTACATATTAAATACTAACACTAAAAGGTATGACAATTCCCCATGTAATTAAAGCAAAAAGTTGCTCAAAACAGTAAAAATGTTAAAAAACGCAGATGCAGAATCCATCATTAAAATTGCAGGATTTCATGTTTATTAACCAATTATATTATCATTTTGCCTTTATTGATACCTCTAACTTCGTCGGCTTCCATGATTGAAATTAGTTAACGTATTTAAACCCAGAGTTCAGAGGTCAGGAGAGAGTTTGTGGCAGCTATCGTCTCACCATTCTTTCTTTTTACGTCTGAATTACCTGAATCAGTTTTAGCTTTGCTAGCCGTAATTAGGAATTTGAGGAGCTGATAATAAAGCTTGCAAGCTTGTGTTCCCTATTAAACCTCATACTTCAATATCTAATTTTACTCTAAATCTGTTTTTGTTATTCCCGCAGCAGCAGAGTTATTTTATTTAGAGATTAGGACGGACTGTATTAATGGATCTAGAAATTAACATTTAGAATAGGTATACAAATTTATTTGTTTTTAATGTCTTATTTGTCATTTGGAATAAAAAATATTGCTCATCATTTGAGAAATGCTAAATTACTACATATGGTTAGTTGCTAAAGAAAACAAACTTAAAAAATCTGTTTAATGTGCTCAAAAAATACCAACAGAATGGGAATGATTGGCATGATTGACTGCTACGATAGTAAGGCAGTCGAAAGTGATTTTAGAATGTTGAGAATTATCTAATTAAAGCGAACGACTTATTTGCGGAGGATGTTTTAACGTTATTCTGCCGAACATATTTTGGTCTGCTTAGACCTCTCTAGAGAGAATATTTATACCAATCCCCTCCTTATGCTCGAATTCCTTACAGTCAACAGTTTTTTGGACCTTGTCAGACTTCGTTAGAATTCGGAGAAAAGACAACAGCAACAGGATGTTTTAAGTAAAACTGACTGACAATTTACTCTTTACACGGGAAAACTTTGAAACTCTTACAGAATGTCTCGTGGTTTAAGCTAGATAATGACTAGTAGAGTAATATGCATAAAAAAGAACAAAATATTTAAATCTTTAAGACTACTTTTTAAAGATGTATATAAGAACTTGTTATATTCTTTGTTTCCATAAACCTTGTACTCATTAAGATGGTATTTAGTCATTAAATGGAACAAGAAAATAAAAGATTTACGTTTTAAATTACTAGGTGAACTGCAGTGCCACTGCATTAGGGATAAACCGCCTTGTACAAATATTGCTACCTCCTTTCTCCGCCTGTGATAACGTTGCTGTGTAGTATATCTGTAGTACAGCCTTCTTTACGTAATTGTTAAAAGTAACATGAAAAGTAAAATTCGCGATTTAGATATCTTCGATTAAGGAAAAAAAAATAGATGATTGACGTATGGCTCATTCAGTTTAGAAATTGTACGAGAAATGGATTTTTTTTTTCGTTTCATAGTATTAAGAATAAATCTATAGTACGCAGACAACAGGCAAAGAATGTGTAATTTGACAAACTGCAAGGGATTACTGTCTTGAGTTACTGAGATCTTCGAAGACCGCTATATCTTATATATCCAGCGACACCAGACTTACGTAGCTCAAGTAACCATCATAACGAATAAGGCTTTCATAAGAACAATAAGTAGCCAGATTGTGCAGCTCTCTTTTCTCAATATGGGCTTCAAAACCCGAAGATCAATGGCAATACCTCTTCTCTCTGCATGCTACAGTGTACATCGTTTTGCGATCAGAAAAACACCTTAATCGGAATATCGACGATTGGGAGCGAATTCAACCGCATTACGTTAATGTACACTGCTGACCATTAAATTTCCAACACCATGAAGGAAAGCAAATGCAAAAAAGATATTTATTGCACGTAAACAGTATGGCATGAAGAGAAAATGATTAAACTTGCAAGCATTTTGGAGGTTTACAGTAGTGTAAAATTAGTAGAAATAGCTGCCACCCCTGGCAGATAAAATGGCACTTACCCTATTAGGCATGGAGTCAAACTGAGCTTGGATAATAGAATAAGGTAACTCATTCATGTTGCTTTAAATCTATGCCACTCTTCATCAACTGTATTAGCTGGAGAGAGGTAGCGGATCAATCTCTCAGCAACCCATAACCAGATGTTTTCAGTGGGTGACAGATATGGAGACCGTGCAGGCCAGGGCAGCAATCGAATACCCTGTGTATCGAGGAAGGTCAGAATACGACGAGGCAACATGTGGTCTTGCATTATGTTCTTGGAACATGGCATATGGGGGTCCTCGAAGATGCAGCACAACCACTGAACGTAAGATGTCAGAAATGTACCCATCTGCGTTCAAATTACCGTCGATATGAATTAGAGATGTACGTTTCGTGTACCCTATGGCTGCCCAAACCATCACAGTAGATGCAGGGTCACTATGCCGATATCGAATGCAAGCAGGCGACGTGCGGTCTCCTCGGACACTCCAGACACGTATACGGCCATCAGAATACTGCATGTAGAGCAGGGACTCGTGGACTCGTTTGAAAAGGTGACATTGTGCCATTATGCTGGGTACCGGCATTACCCAGTTTTGTTGGTTGGCGCACCAGAGACGCCGTCTCTCTCTATACTGCAGTAATGGACACCCTACTGATAGCCCACGTTACTGCAAACGTCGATGCACTTTACGAGCTGATACTGGGCACTTTACGAGCTGATACTGCAAACATGTCCATTTCCTGACTAATATTGTCGTACATTAGTCAGGAAAGTTAGACCATTAGTTAGATCATTTCCTGATGTGGTCGTACGGTTTTGTAGGGCTGACCTCACAATATGTCTGTCCTCTCTCGCATTAGTTATGGGAGGGCTTTGAGATCCTGCATGTCGTTCAGTATGATCCTCTGCAATCCATATTCGCATGACAGTAGTTGGATGTCGACCAGTGCGACCGGCGATATCACAGAGCGATAATCTACACTTTCGATAGGCAACGATCCTGTCTCTATCGAATTTTGAAACTTGCTGGTAAGCATTTCCGCTTCTTATTCGAGGTATAACACGATATGAGCAAACTCCAACGTTATAAAGCACTTTCGGTATGAGAGATCGACTACACAACCTTTCTTTTATGCAGTGCTTCAGATTCTTCTCCCTCCTGCGTCGTCTAAATGCGCTGAAATGCTAATCATTTGCATATCCTAACTTTTTCCTTTCATGTGATTTTGACGTTTGTCAGTTCATTCTTTCCTGGTATTGAGATTTTAATGGTCAACAGGGTAGGCTAAATGATGCCCCATGATGCCTCATGATGATTAAGCGTGCCAAATTGGAACTTGTACAAGTTCATGGTGACTCAAGATCGGCATTTTTTCTTTTGGCAAGATTTAAAAATCTTTATTACTTTTACCAGCAACGTCACTGTATGTGGGTTTCTGGGCCCTTCTTTTACATTCTGCTTCTTTGGCGATGCCTTCTGCTTTTCTGCTATTCGCATGGAGTGTGTATGAACAGAAAGTCTGACAGTTACCAGTTGTTTATCACTTGGTCCGAGGAGCTTTCTACTGAATTCCGCCTCAAATGTCAACAATAAAGTTCGGATTTAAGTTTCCGTAAGTAACTCTGGGATACTCTGGTAAAATGTGTGCAAGCATGTTGTGAGACATTGTCTCCCTTCTTACCTTGTCCCTTCGTAGTGTTTTTGGAAAGCACAGCCAGCTAGAATAGGAAGATCAGGAGTCCTAGCTCCAGCGAAGGCATAGTTGATTGTCTCACCTTTCCTGCTTAAAACATTGTTCTACACTGGTGCCCGAACTAAAAGATAAAAGACAGTAATTCGTCACCACTATAATCTGACGATTGGTTTTCCTTCTCCCCAGTCGCTCTTTAAGATGGAGAGTATGTAAAATATTTTCCCTTTTTTCCTGCGTACCTTTGAAGCGTAATTGAAAAGTTAGTAAACAATCGGAACGTCCAGATTTCAAACCCTGACGATAGCACTGCACATTTTCAGGTCTCCAGCTTTTTAACAAAACTTTCTCTTAAACTACCTCTTTTAGAACATTTTATCCAATTGCTTTATTTACTATTATTACTACTATTTGATTACTACTATTTGCAAATATTTAGTTTACTTCTAATCTCAGATACTTTTATTGTGTTGTAAAAGTGTAGATCATTAATAATTTAATCAGCTGAAGAAGATTTTACTCTATAAAAATACAAATATAGGAAACAAAAAACCACATAAGAGTCCAGAAAATTCAATTGCATTATTTATAACAATTCAAAAGATTCCAATCAATTCGTTTTGATTAAAATCTATAGTATCATTAAATCTAATGAAATTTTCCATAGTAAGCAATATGTGACTATTAGTTATACATGTAAAATTTCCCCTAGAACTAGAATGAAGTAGAAGAAACTAGATTTAGAATAGTAGAGGTAGAAGAAACTACATTAGAAATATAGAAGAAACAGATTAGAAATATAGAAGAAATCTAATTTCTTCTACATTTATATAACTACAGAATATAACTACTTATATAACTACAGAAGAAACAGATTTTCTTTTTAGAAAAAATGTAGAAGAAATCTAATTTCTTCTACATTTCTAATCTGTTTCTTCTGTAGTTAATTCTGTAAAAGAAATTAGATTTCTTCTACATTTTCTTTCTTATTTCTAAAGCTATTTTCAAAAGTTCAGTGACTCCTAATATATTCGAGGTATTATAAAAGTGTTGCTCCTTAATTTCGACATTATTTGGTAGAATTTTACAACAATAAATTTCACATGAGGTAGTCGGACATTTATTTGGCTTAAAAATAAGCCGAATAGTCAGCATATGGTATCTGACCGATTTCATAACTATTGCATCCATATTTTATTGTATGTTTACTCAATGAGTTAAAAACTGTATTTGTTATGCATTTGAAATTATTTTTTAAACATTATGCGTTTGGATTGTATTTAAACTAAAATATACCTTGTGGTAAGGTTCAAGATAATAAAGAATCTAGTTAGTGCAGCACAAAAAATAATAGCGAATAATGAGGAAATTTAAAACGTTAACACTTTTTACAAATACTTTAGCTTGTTAAGAATATAAGTAATCCTAAAGAAGCATATACTATCTGAAAAAAATTAATAGATCGGAAGATAATTATGAAAATAAAAACTAAATCTGAAAAAAATTGAATAATTAGTCGGTTATTTATCAAAAATTTTACTAACCTGAAAAGACGATGCATTAGATACAGAGGTATGTTAAAGGGCTTTTTCGTTTCTTTAACAACTTTGACGGTAGCATAGCACACAAGAAGGCCACTATAAAAGAATAGTTAAATTATTCTTATTTTCAAATGAAAATCAAGAATTCAAAAATATCAGCTTAATTTTAGGAAAACCTTGTAATGCACACAAAAATTATGAGAATATCGGGAAGTTAGTGCTATTATATAAGCTTAAGAATAACTCAAACAAAAATTGCTGAAGCTATTAAAACTGCTATAAGCGTTCAGCATATCTCGAGTTCCGATTTTAAAGATATTTTCATAAAATAGAAAAACTTATCTTTTGAATCAATCCTGTACCTTTTTATCATCATTAAAAAACTGATACATCGATAAACTATACATTAATTCAACTTGTATACTTATTAGTTGTTAACAAACAACTTATATACTTGGGGAGACGGAAACTGGGAAAATCACTTTGTACTGTGGCCTGGACTGGATTATGTGATCTTTAGATAACCAACTTAAAGTATTGAGTATTGCACACAAAAGAATATCAGGAATATTGATTTCTAAGTATATTTGATCAACAACCATTTTGTGTATTCATAAATATTATAAGCAATAAAATAACATCCCTGAAGTTATTTTCAGATTAAAAGTTATGCTTCAGTTCTCAATTTTAAATCGTTTCGAATTATCATCAAAGTGTTGGTAACTTTTTAACCTCATCGAGAATAACGGATTTTAATAATAATTTCTTTCCAGACAGAAAAATAATACTAGGAAATACAAATAATACAATTTCTGAATAATCAAATGCACAACTATGCATACAGTCAATATATTACAGACATAAAAGGACAATTAAATATTTTTGTTATGAAAGCTTTAATTATTAAACGTGTACATGAAATACTGCAGTCTTTAAACTACTCCTACAAAGTCGTTCAAATATAATAATTTAGCTTTGAATAATCCTTCTAAAAAGAAATTAAGGTAAATTTTAAAACAAATTAGGCTTGCCTTCCGCAGCACTCTCTTAAGAATTGGTTTAGGCCTTAGAATGATAAAGAACGCTATCGGAGTTCTGAATAAAAGAAAATGTAAATAGTGCATTAAACAGTTATTAGAACAAAATTTTTAAAAGCAATTAAGACTTTTTTGAAGGTGTAATATACAAGTATTTTTAAAATTGTATTAAATCTGTCGAGTTTGGAGATGATACATTCAATTTCTTCTATAGAATTAGCAGAGAGAAATTCTTTTAAACCTTCGAGGAACATTCTGAGTGAAAAAATTTCTTAAAGAATTTTTATTAGAAATACATCAGTAGTTTATTAAAGCGATTTCAGTCTGATAGCATTGAACTTCATAACAACCAGCTCGCAAAGGACGTTGCATTTGAATTTATTGAGCTATAAAACACCAGTAGTTTATTTATGCCTTTTTGAGCTGCACGAGAAATGTCCTCCACGGGAGTAAAAACAAGGCTGCATATTTTTCTGTGCTATAAATATCTTCCCGTACGCATACAATGGAGAAATAAAATGTGTGCAATAACTATATTTTTCTTCGAAGAGTTTCAAAATTAAAATTTTAGTTGAAGTTTTTATTTTAAATAAAAGTATAATTGAAACTAAATTAAAATTTTAATATCCATATATATAAAAATCATTCACAAAAAGTAATTACAAAATCTACGAATTCGGTTATAAACAATACTTTTATCTGTATGTTAAACTATTTATCTTAACTTTTAATCCTCTAAGTACTTAAGCACAACATGTAACAACAAAAATTTACGAAATCATTTACGTTTTAATACGATTACAGCTGAAAAACATTCATCAGAAAGCAACATACAATAAAACATATTTTCGAAGTAAAAAAGTGTAAAGTATGAATTGAAAAAGCTTCCGTGAAAGTAGACGGAAATATAAAATATATCTTATATAAGCATTTTAAACAAATTTTAGCATACCATGTTTCTTAAAACTTTTTTTTATTTACGAAGAATGTATTACGGTAAAAGAGAGATAAAACACAACCTGTTTAGTTAATAAGGTTCATACTTTTAATATGCCTTTCAATTTAGAAGGTCGCATCTTCAGCCTTATTGTTCTCGTTCCTTATTATTATTAAATGACGAATTAGTAATTATTATTAAGTCGTAATTCTTCACTTAATGCAGTCTTGGAATACTGCATTAAGTGAAGAATAATGAGGTGAATTTAAAAAAAATGTTTGAAATATCATGGTCCCTCTTCTTTAGCTTAGATTTCTTTTACACTACATAAACATCAATTGCCAGAAATTTACATAGTTTGAATGGAAGGCATATTTTTAGTATCGCTTTTCTTTTTATTATATTAAAAAAAATATCAAATGGAAGGCTATAGCGAAAAGATATTTAGCTTTACTGTCATAATTTTTGGGCACATTGTTTTGGTTGTTGCAATAAAATGATCGTCTTAATTTGGAGCCATTACAGCGAGCATCGACTACAGCGGTTATTAGTTATCTTAAATATTTATGGACCAATCCAGCATTCTCAAACTCATATTGGCTGCGAGTTGAATGCAAGATCTTAAAGCAGCTGACGTACCTGTTTTTTTTTTTTTTTTTTTTTTAACAAAATGGAAATTATTCTTTACAAAGTAATAAATTTTAACTAACTTTTAAATTTCACTAGCCAAATATTTACAAGAAATACATAAGCAATACCAATTATGATAGCGCAATTCAATCTTATATTTATTTTATATCTGAGATCTATTGGTAGCTGCAAGAAATTTCTCTTGGTTGCATTTTTAATACGTTAAAAGCAACTTTCAGGACTTAATGCATAATTCCAAATAAGTTAGATATAATACAAAGCAAAAACAAACAGAATTTATAAGCTGTATGTTAGCTTTCAAATGTTTTGATCTACCTGATGTAAAGAAAACCGAAAGTCAGAGTTTATAAACGTCGTATTTCCATCAAAAACAGTTTTTACTTGAATAAAAATGTACATATAATGTCAAGAATAAATTCTAGCATTATATGAACGGAGGCATGCTTAAAAATTTATTTGAATTCTTAAACCTGAAAATATAGTCTCAGAACCTAGATAACCCTCTCTGATGACACGTGTTTATTCACATCAGTCTGTTATGCGGAAATAGAATGAAACTGAAAGTCAGTGTTTTCCTGCTAACTCCTTTAAATATAAAGATATTTGCTCCATATGCAAATATAATATTGGTATGAATTAAATTTCACATGCTGTTTCTAATTTAAAAAAAAGGCTGAAGTTTACGGAAATTTACATGATTTTATTTAGATTTTATGGCACTAGTATATAAAATACACGCATATAAAAATATTATAGTGATCTACTAAGGAACTGCATAGATATTTAGTACATTCTCAATGCGAGAAAGTAAGAAATTTGTGAAGTCCTTACTATATTTGTTTTCTTCATTATAACTTCCTATAAATTTGCTACTTTTTGTAATTAATTATCTTTTTAAACAAAACTAGAAACTTCTAAACTTTTTGAAAATGATAATCTTACTATTGAAGTTAATCTTAGAATATATTAATTTTATTGCTTCGTCAAGTTCAATTGAAAAAGTTTCTGATTAATATTTAACAAATGTTCTGCATTTTTTGTTCTTTTGCTAGCAAATTAGAGGGAAAATTTCTATTATGATGAAACAAAATACATTGTAATAAATTACTCGAAATTCATATTAGGAAGTATGGTCAATATTATCTTTCTGCTTTACTGAATATTTTTTACAGTGTTGAATTAAGGCTAATCCCTAGAATTAGAAAAACCTCTTCTATTCATGTTGAAATAAGACAATTATGAAATACTTAAAAATAATTAATTTAAGTAATATTTTCATTTGTAAATATTCCAGCTAAAAACTTCTAGAAAACATAGGTTTATGCAAAATGAGTTCCAGAATTATCGTGCCACTTATATGCATAAAAATCATCAAAACAAATTCATTATTAACCTTTTTAGTTAATAGATGGCAGCACGAAACCACCGCAGGTTTAATCTAGGGACATGTTAAGGATGCTCTAAGGATCTACACTCAAGCAAATCTAAAATTAGACGACGAGCCTGCACTTTTTTTTTTTTTTTAGCAAAATAAAAATTATTAACAACAAAATAAAAAATATTTTAACTCAATTTTAAATTTCACATACTAAATACTGCCCGTAGATATAAAAAATCGAGATGCGTTTATTAAGGTCCTAGGATAGTATCCTCTTCCACTGCTTCATAACTGAAGGTTGTCCGGATGATTTGCGATTCTGCAACACAGAAAAATTTTAAAGTGCTGCGCTACAAGTATTTGTGAAATTATCCTTTTTTTTTTTTTTTTTTTTTTTTTGTAACGTCAATGTGCACAGCTTTGCTTCTTATAATTTATGGTGCTTTGACTACCTAAAGAACCCGCCTAAATTTATTCTAAAATTTACCCGCCTAAAGAATTTATTCTGAAGCATTTGCAATTTCTCAAATATATTCAGCAACGCTCTCTCAAATTGGAGAAATATACGTAATGATAAGACGAATTTTAGAAGTATATATGCTTTTCTTCCCTTAAAACCTACAGAACGGTTTTTTCCCAATCGCATATGATTCAGTTGAATAATGATTGTTGGGGTACAGTTAGCCGTTCTTATAAACAATGATCTCAGTGATTTTATAAACAGTGATTTTTGCATTAAGAGTGATCTCTTTGTTTGTAAATACATTTAGATGTGAACGGCTTTTTCTTCACAGTTGAAAATATGAAAAGAACCCGATTGACCGATGAGCATCTATAATCCGTGAAGAGATAATTTTTAGTAAGTTTTTTAGTGGATGGATATTATACAAACAAATTTTGCATTTATAATTACTGACATACAAACATATGTATTTTAATTTATTTGAGGAAAAAAAAAATATTAAGAAAAGAAGGCTAGGTTGTCATTACTTATTCTCAAGTTTTACCATTTTCAGAATTTGTTTATTTTTAATTTAAAGTAAAATAAGTTATTTAATGACGAATTAAACATATTAGAATTAAACTTAAACATACTTTGAAGTAAATATCAGTCTGAAATATTCATATTTAGTTGTCTGTGTGTTTGAATTACAAAGTTGTAAATAACAAAACTCTTGCAGGTACCAAACATTAGATTTCAGATACAAAATATATGTGTGTATATATATATATGATTTTTTTTCGTTTGAGTTATTGCTGCTCATGTATGCTTTTATAAATATGAAGACGTATATTTCAGGCGACTCATTTGGTTGTTTTGAATTCTTTTGTTTTCTTTTTATATTTCTTTCTCTCTCTATCTCTCTTTTTTGGAGGGGGGGGTAGGGATTGATATTAGCCAAAACTTTGGGCCTTCCTTTCTTCTTTTCTTTTTCTATTTCATTTTTTACATGACTTTCAAATTTGGGATCCCGTTTCAAGTCTCGGTCATCTTAAAGCGCTACTTTAATACTTAAAAAGTCCTACTATGTGCATGAATCTCATTTCCATATTCAAGTAATCAAAGATTAAACAGACAAATTCCCAACTATTTTATGAAGATAAACTGCTTGTCTCAAACTACATTTTCCGGAAAATAGGAAACATTTGCTTAATTTTAAAAGTGATTTTATTTCTAAATAAACGAAATTTGAGGAACTTACCCTATAAAGAAGAATGTGTCAACAGCTACTGAAGCATTAACAACAGCTTGGAAGAAAAAATCCCTTTGTATAATTGTAGCTTTCCGAAGACCTCCTAGGAGAAACAAAAGTTTACCAAAGTTAATAAGTATTGCCGTTCTAATTACAATAGTTCTTATACCAAAAATATTGCTTCAATCCCTCTTAGGACACTAATTCAGAAATATACGGCAACGTTCTTAAACAAATAGCATGAAAATTTTGCAAGAACCTTTCTAAAGTGCTAAGACGTTTATTCACAATAATATGACACATAGAAAGGACGTACCTGCGTTTGGTTTGTTGCTTATGTCAAATTCAATGTAAGCAGAATTTTTTATATATAATTTAATCAACATTAATGAAGAATGTAAAAAAGGATAAAATAACCAATTAAAAGCAAATCTAATTCAATTTATGGAACTGAAATTTTAACATTCGGTTATTTTCCATTTCAGTGGCTATCTACATAAAGCATAGCATTTTAAAAATTTTAAAAATGATATTCGTTGAAAGAAATTTATATTCCGTTTACATAACAGTATAATCGAAAAAAATCAGAACTTCTTAAATGTGTAAAAAATAATTTAATTTATGGAACAGAAATTTTAATTTTCGGTATTTCCATCTTCATCGCTATCTGAATAGAGTATAATATTTTAAAATTTGAAAAGCTGCTGAAAAAAGTTATATTCCATTTACATAACAATATAAATGAAAATAATAAGCACCTCTCAAATGTAGAAAAACTAACTTGAATATATAGTAACAATATGCAAAAATGATTCGAAAATTTATTATAAAGATACTGGTAAAAATTTTTCTTCTTAGCGAAGTATTTTCTACTAGACTAGGTTAAGTAACCTTCTTATACTCCACAAAATTATTATAACATTTCCTGAATCTTCTAATAAATTTTTATGAATTTTGAATTTGTGGTTTACTGCATTATTGATTTGATGAAAGTTTCGCTTAAATCACTTTACTCTACATAAATTTATTTCAACTGTAAATACCTTATTTTGTACTAATCAATTATTTTTTATTTTAAGAAACTTTCCTTTCCTTTTTTGATTTCAATTTCCTGCCAGAACACAAATTTAAATGACGTGTGTGCAAATATCATTGAGTTCGGAAGTAGTATTTAAGTAGCAGATTTTAAGAGTTCGCAGTGGAAGAATTAATTACGAGTTTAACGCTGCATGTCTGCAAGTAGCTCTGTTGTTGAATTTTTTGTACTAGCCACTTACTTTAATTTATATTGAAATTCTAAACTCGGCTTTCTGTATGCAGCCGATAAAACGGATTCAGATTAAAGCAAAAGCCAATCGGGTAGTTAAAATTTAATTCTTCCTGATTGTATATACTATTTTGTGTTAAGTTACTTAGCCACAAGTGATGGCTAAATTGGAAGCACTAAGTGAGTGCATGTTCTGTTCAGTTAGTTAAACTAAAAAGGTTATTATAACCTTCGTCGGCAGTCACCTGTTTTGCAAGACATAGCGTGAATTCGCAATCGTCTTCAGTAAAGTCTACATTTTATGCTCCCTTAAACAGTACAAAAACATTTCTGTATTTAGTTTTTTTTTTTTTTTTTTAGTCCAAAGGGATTTGAATCCCGAAGGACTATTAGTTTCGTTTTGGCATTTTGCGTCGGACTCATAAACGTCGGTCCACTTTTCAAACTGTTGCCACAAAATGTTAGAGTCCTGCATTATATTTGAAGAAATTAAATAATGAAAATCTGCATAAATGATTGTCTATTTCTCGCATGTGATGATAAAACAATGGTACATAGAGCCATCGAATTTTGAATGACGAAATCCTACTGCGAATATGGGCATCTGAAATCCCAAATTTGGAATTTGTTTTATTATAGATTTTATATTTTGTAAAACTTTAACGAATTTTTGATTTACAAACTCAGTGCTTTAAAAGCGAGAAATGGCAACGTTATATAGAAAAAACATTTTTATCTCCAGCGCGTGAGTCACTGTATCGGAAATTCTAAAGATATGCTCGTTTTAAAACTATTTTGCGATATTGCTGTTGCACTGGATCTTATGGTTTAAGTGCGAGGAACATGATATTTAATAAAGAAACGTAACACACAAAATGTTAAAAAACGCCCCTTTGGACGTAATTTAAAGTCTGAAACATTTCAGTTTTTTTTTTTTTTTTTTTTTTTTTTTTTTTTTTTTCAGTTATTCTCTTGTCATACGAAAGTAACAGCAGTTAAATGTTTCATCAGAAAAGGAAAAACCATTATATACGATCACACTGGTGACAAAGTAATGCCTTATTTCGCGCTTTTTATAGCCATTTTTTTTTTCCAGAAACATAAACATCAATCGTTGTTTGACAAGACAAACTAACAGAAGCAATCTTGAGCGTGGATCTCATTTCAAACGCAGCTGAATACAACAGTTTGCCCACCAGGGCGAGCGGTAATGAACACTAGTAGTTAGGGCGGGGGTTCGAGTCTCGGCGAACGGGCTAGCTACATAGGCGTCTTCGTAGTTTTCCCCATGTGTAACGTGGTTACGGGCCACTTTTCCTCAAGAAGTCCTCGACAGGGCGTTATCCCCTTTCCGTGTAGTGCACGTAATAAATATGATAAGATAAGAGTTCCAGTTGCTAAAAATAATATAATTTTTAGTTTTTTTGACAAACTAGATGACTGATTGCTTTCATAGTTGTGTTGTTGCAGCCAAAACAGATTATTTCTGTGAACGCAAAATTTTGAAGATATTAGTCGTAGATATTAGCCGTATATGTAATTATCTATAATAGAGTAGATTTGATTGTCGAGGAGTTGGCGATAAAAATTATCACCAAGGTGACAGACAATGGCGATTTGCAACTTTCTAATCCAAGGATGGGCAGCTTCACTGTATTATAAATGTAGATGGTCAGCTATGGCGGAGACATGTCGATCAAATGTGTGAAGGAGGAATCATAATTGATGAGGGCTGCACACGTCCACCTCCAGCTCTCCTGATTTTCAAAAAGCCTGATAAGAGTGGAATTCTAGAACCATCCAAAGACAATAGCCACCAGGTAGATACGTCTGTGTCGTGTTCTGATCCCAAGGTTTTACCGGATGTTCTATCTACCGGATCTGCTGCTGATACAACCAGGTTACCAAAGAAATCAGCTGTGCCACAACCTATGCGTCGATCCATCAGAATTCGACGACCTCCAGATAGACTTAACTCTTGATAAAAGGGGGATGCATGTATTGCATCGACAACTTAATCGTAATCGAACTTAAAGCTGGCGCAGCTCCAAGCATAGCAAGCGTGGGAAGTTATTGTAAAAACCAGAATTGAGACTGAATGTAGTTGTAGTTGTACTTGTGTGTGCGAGTGATGATGTGTTTTGTATATAATAAAGTAGCCTATAATTAAGTACAGTGTCTTGTGAAATAAAAATACCACTAAAGACATATTAACTTTCATCTCCGATTTTAATGCCGTTACTTTTTGCTAAGTTTTCCTAGCTTAGCTATTTAATGATTCATAGTATCAACTTAATATGAATATTTCTAGTTTTAATTTGTATTTATATATATTAATATCTTTACCTAGAGTCATCATAATAACGATAAATATACTTACTGAATATTTGAAAATTTACATTGAGGTAAGTATGACCCAAGATGATCCATGAAATTGACAAAAACCGCAATCCGTGAAGACAACTCATATTTCCCGCAGATGTTTTCGTATTCACTAGTTTTTTGAAGTTCGAAATGAGGGAGAAACAGGCGAGCACTTGTAAAAGAGTACCTATTAATGATAGCAATTATTTTTTCAATTTAAAATAATAAGAACCATATTAAAAAAATAGGGATCTTGAAAATACAATTTCAAACTTAATAAGCGATAGTTTTGCATTCATATGCAAAATTCAGGCATACCTCACAAAATTAGAAATGAGCATTTCTTTTGGAAGTTAACGCCATTTTTGCAATTTGTAAATGGGGAAACCTTTGAAAAGTTATATTAACCTTTTAAGCAGGGTTAATAATAGAAGTCACTCAGTTAATTTCGATGTGCTGCACTTCCCTGCAAAGGAAAACAACATTTTGTATGTAACATTTTGAGAGATAGTTTCAACCATCGCAAAATAAAATGGTTGAAACTAATATAACATATATTTTAATAATTAAGACACAATAACACGCCGAATAAATACTAATTCAGAAGTCAAACAACAAAAATCAGCGTTAATTTACAAAATTTTCACAAGACTAGTTTCGATGGTTTTACCGAACCATCATCTTCAGCTGCAAAACCGCAAATGAACAAGATAGGAAATAATGTTTAGATAAGATAAGAAAGCCTGGACAAGAATAAGCAAGTGGCGCCATCTGTTGGCGAAACCAGAACTAAAAACATAATTTCTCTAAAAGCCGAAGGCAAATTTGGATTGGAATTAGGATCGTTAACTAGAACAGAAAAGATTTTTATGAATGTGAAATGCTTCTAGAAAATCCAGTTCTCCAATGGAAGATGTTTTTTGAATAATTTTGGCAGGCAGCAGAAAGAAAAAGAAAAATTGAAAGTGTGATTTGTGATTTTCGGACCAACAATGTTGAGCAACAGAAGACTTCTGTGTTTCCTTTTTTCTAACATATGCCTCATGTTCTTTGACGCGAAATTTTAAGGCTCTCTTAATTTGGCCAATGTAAATTAAACCGCACTGGCAAGGAATCCTATAAATACCCCAGGAATTCATATCCGGAATGGGGTCCTTGAGTATAGAAGTTGGAATTTTATTGATGGGAGAGTAAACAACCCGAAAGTTAAATTTCTGCAAAATATGTGCAACCTTATAGCTAATTGATGGAAAGAAGGGAATGACAACAGAATTTTTATAATCTCCTAAAATAAGAGTGTGGCTTTTAGTGTGTTGAGATGAGAATTTTTTAACTGCTTGATTAATAATGTTGGGTGAAAAGCCCCTGTCAATAGCTATTGCTTTTAAATAATTTAGTTCTTCATCAAGGGCTAGTTTGGAGGAGCAAAACTTGAAGAGCACGGAAAACATAGGAATAAAATGAAGCTAACTTTTGTTTAGTCGGATGACATGATTTAAAGTGTGGTGGAAGGCAAACCGATGAAGGTTTACGGTAAACTGTAGTACTGAAGTTGGATGTGTTACGTGTGACCAGAATGTCGAGAGAAACGGAAGAGAATTGCAAGTCTCAAGTTCAAAAGTGAACTGAATAGCAGGATCAATAGAATTCATTGTTGAAAGAAAACTCTATTTAAATCATCTTTATTACCTTCAAACAGGGTAATAAAAGTATCGTCTACGTCTACGTAGCGGGAACCATGCCGGGGAAGTTTAAAGTTTCAAACAATTTTGATTCATAATAATGCATGTAGATATCAGCCAGGATGGGACTGAGGGGGCTTCCCATGGCTAATCCCTCAGTTTGCTTGTAATATTTATTTTGGAAAACAAAATGTGTTGGTTTCAAACAGAGTTGAGTGTGAGAGAAATTAGCTCATCAATTCGATGCAAGAGAAATGAAAATTCGCGCGAAGTCTGGTTTCTAGACATCTAATGCACCCTCCACGGGGACATTGGTGAATAATAATGATTTTACATCAAAAAAGAAACCATGAGTAAATTACGAGGAGAAAATGTTTTTTTTTTTAACCTTTTTTTAAAAACTCTATTGAAAAATTTTTATGGTGTAAATGTTATTTTCTAATAGAGTGGAAAATCTAGAAGAAACTAAATATTTAGCTAATGGATACGAGGCAGTAACCTAAATTTGATACAATAGGGCGGAAAAAGGAATACCACTTTTATGAATTTTGGGAAGAAAAAAGGCATATAATCTGGCACAAATTCGCAACAGATGGGATATAAGCGAATGTTTTTAAGTTGCTTGAAATGAAATTGATTTTCGAAGATTTGATCGCAGTTTAGTTTTTATTTTGGATAAGTCCGAAGGTGAAGGATCTTTAGGGATCGGATTATATGTCCCGTCGTTTTTTTAAGAGTTTAGTGACACCATCGATGTAAGTGTTCTTATCCATGACAACTATCTGGCCACCTTTGTCGGCCTTTGAAATGACAATATCCGGGTTAGAATGAATCTCGCGCATTGTAGCTCTTTCTCTCGCAGTTAGATTGGTTTCAAAGGTTTATTATTGAATTTCACATTATGAGCGATAGAATAAGATGCCTAATCATTTCTTTCTGTGAATCTGAAAACTTTACTGAACTTGAAAGCTTTTTCGATTAGGAGCCAAAATCTTTGGAATCGAGGGTTTTACAGGTTTGTGAGAAGTTAAGTTAAAATTATATTTTAGAATTCTCTCTTGTTCTTCTAAAAGACTAACATTAGAAATATTAACTATTGGCTTGATGTTTACAATGGGAAGATTTTTTGAACTACTTGAACTGGCAGACTGTAAAAGAAGTTTTTTTAAAGAAAGAAAAAGAGACATTTGTTAATCGCTTTTCGGCAAATTTCCTTTTGCTTCTGTCGTTTTCAAATTCATTTAATCTAAAGCTGAAAAATATCAGTTCTTGTCATTAATCATTTCGATACCGAGAATTTCTGCTACTGAATTAATATTTGCTACTGGTACTTTTACTCTTCTTAAACTATTTTCTTAGTAGTTCACCTTAATAACATATGATAAGTGTATTGTATCTCAAATTTATAACAATTTTCATCTAAATTTCCTAGTTTTAAATTAAATTTAGATTACGACTTCTCTTGGAGTTAAAATTTTAAATTCGAAGCTACTTTTATATTTACTTTCAAAACAATCACAGCTGAAGATATATCTGCAACTTTAAAAGTGATTAAAAACTGAAGGTGAATTAAACCGTATTCTTGTTAATGAAACTTTGCATAGAGATATAAAATATTTGTATTTTAAGACGTTAAAGAAATTGTATTTTGTATTTTATAAACATTTGTAGTAATATGTACAATTGTTGCAGCATTTTGGATTGAAATGCACTTAGATATAAGGTCACTGCAAAAGAAGCTGAGTTAAATACTTTTCATAATATTCATATTTTAATCACTCAGTTTAATTCATGCAATAAAATATTTAAATAAAGCAAAAGTTAATCTTACTTTCTATTTTCTTTTGTGCGCAATAATGGTACAATTCCAGCAATGAGCCTAGGAGCATCAGAAACCCAAAGAAACATAGCACTGTCCTGTAGTATTTAAAAGTAACATGGTGAGAAATGTACTATGAATTATCCATTGACAGCAAGTTTAAAAAATAAATTTTTTAATGCAGGTTTAAAAATTTTATTTGGAAAGCATAACAGCATCCCTGTATAATGCGCTATATAACATAAATAAAAAAAAAACATGTCTTATAATATGTTAGCAAGGAGTGGGAAAAATTCTACTGTAGTTTTTCGTTTTACAAGAAATTATCAGCAAAACCCAGCTGCTTTAAAGATTGCAAGATATTGTACTTGAAGTTCTGAAAATCAACAGCAAAATTATGCATTTCACTATAATTTAAAAGCAAAAGTAAATTATTTTTACATGAAAGATAAATGCTTCCATCCTCTCATAAACTGTTACATACACAGATCGGTCTAGCTATTATAATTAAATTAACGGGATATCATTCAGTTAATGTTCAACTAGAGGAAGAAAGAGTTCCAGAATTACATGTAAATACGTTAGGATCTTATGGAGCACACGATGATGGTTTGAATATTGAAAGAAATGAGGATTTAAACTGGTATGCAAAACTTAAGCAACAATGTAAAAATTTAGCAGATAGCCATGAAATTGCAGAAAAGGAGGTCTGGAGATCAGTACAATGAACACGTAAGTCAGTAGAAACGTCATGCGTATGCAAATATCAGGAACGAAACGTCAGAGGCGACGTGAGCGTACACAAAAAGTGTGATATCGGCGCGTGCAGCTCAACAGTAGAATAAAAGGAAGGACGGAGACGCAATTCAACAAATTCGCTGCAAGTGCCAGTGAGTCAGTTTGTGAAATATGGCTAGAAGAAATTACCTGGACGACTTCACACGTGGAAGAATGATCGGAAAGCTGGAGGAGGGGCTTGCTGTCACCAGTGTAGCTGCAGAGTTCGGAATCAACAAAAGTGTTATTTCGCGCGCTTGGAAAGCGTTCCAAACCACAGGTACAGCTGTTAGAAAGGTTGGTGGTGGCCGCCCGAGGACGACAACTGCAGAAGATGACCGATATATCGTCCTGCAGGCGAAAAGAGACCGACAGCAGACAGCAAGCGCCATTGCTCAGCAACTCTGTACAGCAACGGGGCGACAAGTGTCGCGGTTTACTGTGGCCAGACACCTTGACAAAGGCCGTCCTGAACGCTGCCTCCCGTGGAAAGTTGGCCACCGACGCCACCGTTTACACTGGTGCAGAGAGCACAAAAACTGGACAACTGATCAGTGGAGTCGTGTCCTCTTTACGGATGAGAGTCGGTTCAGTACCAGAAGCGATTCTCAACGCGTTTTGATTTGGAGAGAGGTCGCGACTCGGTTTTATTCCAGTAACATCAAGAAAAGACACCGTAACGGTGGTCCTGGAGTTCTTGTCTGGGAAGGCATTATGCTGAACGGGCGAACTGAGCTTCACTTTTTTGACAGAAGGTCTGTAACCGGGGATCGCTATTGTGAGGAGATACTCCTTCCCCATGTGCGCCTGTTCCGAGGTGCCATTGGCCCAGGCTTAATTTTAATGGATGACAATGGACGGCCACATCGGAATCTTGCTGTTGAAGAGCTACTGGAAAGTGAAGATATCACTCGAATGGATTGGCCAACGTACTCCCCAGATTTAAATCCCATCGAACATGTGTGGAATGCTTTGGGGAGGCGCGCTACAGCACGCTTACATCCTCTGGAGAACACCCAACAACGCAAACAGATGCTGATTGAGGAATAGGCACTCCTACCGCAAGAAATGTTGCACCAGCTGGTTCTGAGTATGCGGAGGAGACGGTGCGAAGCAACAATTGCAGTGAGGGAAGGGCATATCCCATATTAAGGAACATCTGCTTGTTGTTCTTCCTCTTTGATAGACAATCATGAAATAAAGCTTGTTTTTGTTTGATTCCATACCTTATGCATTGTACTCCTTTTTCAGCTCCGATGCTTTCGTCATCCTTTACGTACATAATACTCACCTTCATTTCTGCAAATCATGTGTCTCAATTGATTTCTCGTGGAGTTATGGCAAAAAACCCTGCTCTTTAAGTTTTGCACACCAGTGTATGAAAATTGCATTATTCTCCAGCTTATGCTACCAGAAAAGCTATTTGTGATACGAATGAAAAGAAATTTTATTATAATAGCTGAGAATCATCTGTTAATCATTGTTGTTTGAAATTCTAGAGAAATCTACTCAGAAGCGACTTCGGCCATAATGTCTACTGGAATTGATTGATGGATTATTGCCTGTGTATCACGAGGACTAATTTCACCAGTATGTTCAACTGGAGGAGGTAACTATAGTAACAGGATTTATACATTTCCAAATAATGGCCAGTAAGGCAAAGCATTATTATTACTTTGTTTTTACCTAACATTAGACGAGAAAGATACAAAACAATTCTATATAGTGAGTATTTTACTTACAACGACAAGCGTATAATGCTAGTTCGTCATTAAGCGCAACAAGATAGCAAATGTAAATCGTAAATCCATTTCTTCAAGACACTCCTATGAAAAATGGGTTGTATCTTGTCTCTATGGCAACAGATAGTTGTAGACAATCAGTCGGCAGATGTTCTTCTCTTAACAGACCGTGAAGGACTGCCTGACTGAGATCTAACCGAAACAAGTGACAGTAGTTTGTCCCAAAGGTGACCTGCTAAGAAAAGCTAGACATTGCCTTGATTTTCGACTGCTATATAGTTTTAATATTCCTGACACATATCCAAAGAAAATTCATTAATTTATTATTTAAAATCAATACATCATGCTTTTAATGATGGAAAAAAAAAGACTAAGACTTCTGTATAGTTTTAATTGCTTAGAATCTTTCAGATTACAGTAACATGAACCTTTAGTTTGGTCTTTTGTTGTTACCAAGCATGTTTCATTATTATTTGATTTTAAATTCAACTTAGAAATTTTCTGAAAAAATTCCAAGTTCGTTATTCCTAATTCCAAATTACATATGTTACACAAATGTGACGTAATTATTATGTAAAACAATTACACTTCTAATTTTCTTTCAGCTTCAGAATATTATGGGTTATCTGAAGTTACTCAAAATACGTTCTCATTAAAAAGCACTGTACATGTGAATAGATAAAATAAAACTCTAATTTCGATATGAAATAGTTCCTTAAATATAAAGTACTTAAAGTTTTACTGCTTAATAGCATACTTAAATAATACTTAAAATAGTAATATGCTTATAATAAATGTCTCTGATTTCCCTCATTTCAAAATTAATTCCTTCAATATGATTCTCAGGTAACACTCATGACTCATGTATAAGGGAGCAAGAACGACTAAAATCTCTTAGCCAAAATTAAAATTAAAATTTGCAAACCATAATTCTTAACAAGCAAAAGGAATAAAGGGGAACCATTGTAGAGATTTTAGGTTAATTAGGAAAGCAGGAGAGATGAAAATTTAGCAACCGCCTTCGCCGGGAATAGAACCACGGACCTCTGGAATACCTGCTCAGCGTGCAGAACCACTACACCACGAAAGCATGCTAGGAAAGCAGAAGAAATACCTTATATACTGCCCTTTTTTAAAAGGCGACTTGGGTTTTTTTAGGGCACCCAATCGCCAAATCCTGGGTGTGGAGATTCATCATCCACGACCCTTTTAGTTCGAGCGCCACTGTAGAGACATTAGGTATATTTCGGGAAACAGAAATGAAAAATGAGCAACCGCCTTCGCCGGGAATTGAACCACGGACCTCTGAAATACCATCTCAGTGTGCTGACCACTACACCACGAAGGCACATTAGGAAAGTGGGAGAAATACCTTATACCATAACTTATCGATTCTTAATCTAATTATCATGTATCTTCCAGGATAAATATTATTTTAATTTTATCGCTCTTTTTCTCTACTAGTAGTTTTTCATGGCCTCTGTTCTCTAAAACCAATTATAATTTAAATATTTGAGACGCAGGCTATGGAGTCATCGGAAGCACTCATAACTGTGCTTTTGAACATGTTTAACCATTAGTGCATAATATTTATGTAAAAGCTGCAGTGTGTGCCCCAATATACAATAATTTTATTATGTAAAATGTTTAAATATCAATTAGAAATGCTCAAATTTCAGTATACAGCATCAACAAATGTTTCCATTAAGCTCCTGACGCCGTGCTTCTGGGGCGCCAAAGAGTTCTCGCGTTGTACAGTTGCGGATTCCGGAAGAATACCTGAGTAATCCTAGTAAGCCTTTCGGTGTCCAGACCCCTGTCACCTGTATTTCATTCAAGCAAATATGCTTCAATAAACATGATCTACGAAAGATTCACATGCATGCACTTCTTTAGCGTCATCGACTTTAATGCTTCATATATATCGATATTATCATGACATACAAAACCATATATTAATATTATTATCAATCACATTTTATAAATACATGTGAAAAAATTAAACAGTTTGCTTTGTTGAAATACAAGCATAAAAAATATTTCATTCAGTTTGCATACAAAAAATACTCTATTTATATTCTTTCGCTTCTTCAATGCAGTCAGTATTTTGGGAAGTCTTTTTGTTCTTTTTAATATTTAATGATGTTTACATTTTTTATAAATAATTAATATTATGCACTATTGTTTCAGGAACCGATATTAAAAGCGATTAGAACCAGTTCCACAAACATTTTGATATGCAGCTGGAACTTATTGAGAATTTTAATGGTTATGATAATTATGCAGATGTCGTCGTAGACCTTCATTAGCAATTAAGAAAAGAAAATAAATAAGGATATAAACAGTAAACAGAAAAGTGGAAATAGAATCAAAATATCATGGAAACGTGCTAATTAAAATCAAAGCATTTAATGTGTGTTGAATACAAAAATTTATTCGAAATGCAAATGTGGATAAAACTGTTTCTTGATACAAATAACTGCCGAAATCAGAAACATCTACGACAGGATCTCAGTAAAGCTTCAATAACGCATTATTATTTTAAGATCAATCTTAAATTACGAATTCGCTGCAGAATTATAGAGAAATAATTTTTATGGAAAAGTTTTTTTTTTTTCGTTTAGTTTTCACTCTAATTTATTGCTCACAGTTAAGAATTATTTATTCTTAATTTGGTTGACTTCTAAATTATTTTTTTGGAAAAGGTTTTAAGACATATTAATATTGAATTGCGAGACCTATTAAAATGATAAACTTTAATGTAAAAATTGAGGTTTTAAATTAAAAATATTAAATTATTTAATGAAGAGGTAAGAGCTATATGAAACCACAGTCCATTGAAACAATGATACAAAAGTTGTTGGTACAAAACTGGTTAATAGATGTTTGCTTTTATATGTAATGCGACTTTTCTTTTCTTCAAACAATTCTTTACAAATATACTTTGTATAGATGTCCCACGCTTACTAATTTCGAAGTGAATTTTTGGAATAACATAATAGATAACAATGTATGCCTTGGAATGTAAAATGATTAAAGGTAGAACAAGAGTACTTTCTAACTTGTATGAATTTTTTTTACACGAAGTGATTGAACGAATTATTAAATATAAATTAATTTTAAACTGTTCTAAACATTATCGAAAATGAAAATTATGTTACAATGAACTACAGTCGCCAACCTTGTTCGCTGAAAACTTTGTGTCTTTTCACGGATTGCTTTTTAAGGCAAAATTATCATAAGAGAAACAATATAAGATATATCTTAATCTGCTTACAGAACGGGAGTTAGCAAAACTTTGTATAAAACGAATGCAAATTCATTACATTTAAAATAAAACCCCCTGATCTCTCGATTAACGGGGAATGGATTAATTGATTGCGGATTAACATGGGGCAGGATTAACCAGGTTACAGGTTAACTGGGCCCTGACTAAAAAAGGTTAATTTTATTTATTGGGCAGCAGGAAAAAAGTTACTTTCTTGAAATATCAACGTAAAACAAAATTGTCTACGGAAAATAAAAAAAGGAAATTAAAAATCCGCGAGGCAATAGCAGTGGTAGCTGATGAACTTAGAAAAGTGTAGGCGAGATGCTTTTATCCGCAACTGTGCGTAAACGTGCATTTACTTTAACTGCGCATAATCCGAAAAATACAAAAAAAGTGTTTTATTAAAAAAAGTTTTAATAGACTTTCGAATTAGAATTCTGTGTATGATATGTGATACTGAAGTCCACTTTTAAATATTGGTCTTTAAGTTTGTTTCTTTCATTCTGTCTCTTGTTAACCATTTTCTTTAACATTTTTATTGTAAATATACACTGAAGTGTCACTGAATTAGGGATACCTACCTAGTAACGAGTTGGGCCTCCTCTGGCCTTGATAATGGCTACTACAAGACGAGGTATAGATTCAACAAGTTTCTGGAAACGTTCCACGCGAATGGCTTGCCAAATATTAGATAAAACTGTTCATAATTCAGTAGGGTTCGTTGGTGCAGTGTGATGGCCTTTCACGCCTTATTCCAAAACATCCCAAAGATGCTCAATAGGATTTAAATCTGGGCTTCTAGGTGGCCGATTTATGGCAGAAAAGTCAGAGGAATGCTCATCCAACTAGCCAGTAGCTAACCAGGACTTTTGAGAGGTACAGTTGTCTTGCTGGAAAACTCCATTACCGTGCGGATAACAGAACAGCATAAATGGATGCAGGTGATTACCCAACAATTCTAAGTACCGAATTGCATTGAGGGAGGTCGGTACACGAACCAAAAATCCCAAACAGTGCCCCGGAAAAAAACACCCCAGACCAAGATTGAGCCACCATGCCTTTGTCCAGTTCCAACCTGGCATGCAGGATCCATGGCCTCATGAGCCTGACGTCCTACTCTCAGCCTCACGTCAAAGTTAAGTAGCCGGAATCAAGATTCATCACTCCATGCTACTTGTTTCCAGTCCTTTACACTCTAGTCGCGGTGGTCTCTTGCCCAGGCAAGACTTGCAGCCCGATGGTGAGCATTGAGCAATGGTACTCTTGTAGGTCGATGGCTCCCGAAACCCATACGGTTGAGAGAGAGCGTTACACAGCTTATGTTTGGCTTCGCTGGCTACCTACAATACGCTTGAGCCGTCTCTCAGCACGCACTGTCAAGGCTAATCGTCCTTTGCACTTTGCCCGATAGCTAGTTTTTTGTCCACCATCTATGTGTTCTTGGTATACTCCTGACACTGTTGACTTTGAAAATCCTAGCTGTCTGACGATTTCGGAAATTGAATAGCCCATGCGTCGCGCACCTATGATTTGTCCGCAATAGAAGGCGTCTAAATCAGGCAGTTTACCCATACTGGCAATTCTAACACCTAATTCAGAACATTAGACTTAGACTAATTTATATAACCGAGCTATTGCGCAGCGCAACGATGCCGGTTCATGAACTCAAGGGCACATGACATATAGAATTCTGAAAGTGGAGAAAATCTCGAAAGAGAAAACGGAGTTAATTTAGAACATTAGACTTAGACTCGATGTTATACCGATCTATTGCAAAAAGCAACGTTGCCGGTTCATGCCAAGGAATGAATTCATGAATTCAAGCCCGAGGGTACATGAAATAATGAATTTTTAATGTGAAAGCGATCTTAGAAGAGAAAACGGAGTAAAGGAGAAGGAGAGAAGTACCAAAAAGGAGAAAAATCTTAAAACGTGACGAGAGAGCAGAGTTTTCCAGAAGGATCCAAGACAATGCAGGTTCAATGACAACAATAAGAGAAATACATTATACTATACTGGCATCAATGACAAACTTAAAAACCTCAATACTACAGAATCAAAATTATGAAAAAATAACACAAATTCAATACAGCACTACTACAACAACCTGGACTACGAAATTACAACACAACAAATGCCACACAACAAAGTACAATACAGCTCAACTTCAGTTACTACAATTTCCAAAGAACTACTTCCAGCTTAGAAGCAACAAGCAAAAATCAGATGAGTTAAGAGGTATGAACAGCTACCAATTGAGGAGCTAAGTGATAAAGTTGACATCTTCACCTATGAAAGTGTCTGTTGCCAGTGGCCAAATGCTTCGGTCTTCAAAGAGAACTTCATAATTAAAAACTTAATTCAGAACAGCCACAGTACGCGCTATATATGCAGTTACCACAGCGCCCTCACTTGCGCATAAACGATGCACAGCGTTACACAATTTGCATAGTCCTTGCTATCCCTAATTCAGTGGCACTTCAATGTAATTTAATGCATATAAAATGTAGTTTCTTCATTTCTTATTTTCATTTTTTCCTTTTTTTTTTTTTCCTTTGCAGTGCGTTCCCTTTATTTTAGGTACTGTCTTAATTAAAGAAAAATTATGAATTTATTCTCGATATTAAACTGCTTGAAAGTAGAGAAAAACTATTATTCTACTTTAACTAAGTATATTCCTGTTAATTCTAATATAGGTTATTCTACTTTATTGCGTTTTTTAACTACGCTCATATTAACTAGATTTTGATTTAACCAGGATGTCTTTCCCGGCATTACACCGGCTAGTTAGGAGTTGACTGTAACTGGGAGGCATTTTAGATATCGTAGGTATCAATTGACAGAATAGATGTTATTCTAAAATTTAGAAGTTTTTAAGCATTCTTTATCAGATGAGAAGATTTAGGGATGTTCTTTATATGTGTGTGTATAAATTAAGTTTTTACGCTATAACGCTTACTGCTTATGTAGCAGGAATTAAGTGATAAACCTATCATAGCCGAATGAAAAAGTAGCACCATCACTAGATAATGCAATTATGTAATAATTTTGATAAGAAGTAAATAAACTTACATAACACTAATAATCAGAGGTGTGTATTCGTAATCTTCTTTCACTTCACATCTCTTTACTTTGACCGTCCAATAAAGATGTTCTGTAGCTATTAAAAATGAAAAATTGTTAATATTTCCTTTCTCCGTTAATAAATGAAGAAATGATTATTTTTATGAGTCACTAATGTGCGAATTTTGTTGTTTTTTATACCGACAATTATTTCCCTCTTTTTATATATATAAAAATAATATATATATAAAATATTCTTATAAATATTCATTTACTTATTTGTTAATTATAAACATTTATTGCATTATAAACCTTTTTTTTTTACTTATGTTGATTCTTACTACTAGGGTTTCAATATACAAGCCAGTACTTTAATGCATTTATTTAATTTATTTAATAAATTAAATGCACTAAATATATTTACTGAAATTTTTTGTAAAATCATAGGTATGTGTAAATTCTAAATCATTGTTTTAATTATATTTATTTGCAAAATACGTCGAAAGAGTTGATCTTTCTGTAAGGATTATGCAGTTTTATTTTGTGTACAGTTTGAATTAATTATCTCTCATGATCATTTCAGGTCAGACGACGAACTGATTTTAGAAATTGGCATGACACCAGAGAGGAAGAACAGAAGTGAGTTAAAAATTACTGTACTTTGAACTACATCTTAAGCCTTAGCTTTATGGATAAAAATTTGAATGTAAGTTGATAAGAACATAATCTGAAAGTTAATTAATAAATGAGATTTGATTTGACATCTTAAAAATAGTTAAAGTATTGAGGGTTCTGTCTTCAACTGGTGAGAGAAACGCAGTGGAGCCTTGTTAAATTTTGTAATTAATTGTTGATAGTTAATACCATTGTAAATAATTACTCCGTATTTATCACAATAACATTATTAACTTGCCTTTTGTAAATTCTTTAATTTACGTGATCTTAGCTTCTAGTAACCAATACAGATTTCAACTGTCATTTGTTTAAAAGCAACAGATACGTTAAAAAAACAATAATGGGTTGTCAAAATAGGGCTAGATAATTTCTACTTTCAAAATAAAAAATTGTAAGAAAGTTTCTTTGAAGGCAGATTAGCTATCCTATCAATAAAGTTTATTTAACATTAACAAGAGAAAATATTACATAAATTAATTTTTGCTGAATTTTTTGCTTTGATATTAAAGGATTGAATTTTTAGCTTTCTTAAAAACATTTTAAAAGATTTAAAAATGAAACTAAGTATCAGGTAAAAGAAACTTTGAAGTAATAATGAAATAAGGTAAATTTTTAAATTATTCAACTTGCTGTTTAATTATTCAACTTGCTTGTGGCCGTCCAGCGCTTGTGGCCGATCTTCCAAAGCTGTACTGTTATGCGATTCTGCTTTCTTTCACAACAGCGCATTTTAAATATACTAATACAGTAGAACTGATAACAGACAATATGCAGTTTCCAGAAAAAGCTGCATATTGTCTGTAATCAAAATAATGACATCGGCATGACTAGCAGAGCTATGTTCCTTGCTTATTTTATAGGTAGGATGAAAATTAAATGATTATTCACAGCAAAATTTGAATACCAAATTAAAGAGAAAAAAAATGTTTCACTGTGAAACTCTTTATGTACCAAAATAATGAACAGTATTAACTTCAAACAAATTTGTTATGCAAACCTTTTCTTGCCACTTCTTCTATATCAGATGCTTGACAACCAGAAGGAACACACAATCCGACTCTCATAGCCAAAAAGTGAAAAAACTGCGCAGATTTTGCTGCTTCATTTATAACCTGAAAAAGAAAATAGTTTTCTGTATTAACGTATATAATCCAAAATTATCTGTACAAACTTTAAAGATAGATCCCACATACACCAAGAAACAAAATTCGTGCAGAAAGTTTTGTTCGAAAATGGCTAAATGGTATACCGCATCAACAGCTATCGCCATTTGAATAATTCACTTTGTAAGTGTAGGATGCTTTACTACATCCACTCGAAAATTGCAGATATAAGCTTTGCTAATGGGGCAGCAAAAGAAATGATGTATTACGGTTGGGCCATGAATAATTTTCAGTAGACCCAATTATTAAACGTTTATGCGTTTTTTCACAGTTTGTGTGAAAGGTATATCATTCGAAATAAACATTGTGGACGCGGACGCGGAAATAAACAATCACTGGAAGAAGTGACACTGAATGCTACTCACTTAAAATAACTCGTACTATATCAATGTTATGAAATCCACAGGATAGCAAATATTATACAAGGAGTGATTATTTTGTTCTCACATTCAACTATTGCGGTCGTTAGAGGCAAGAACCTGGATACGAAATTTGCATTTTGTGTTTGAAAGCAATGTGCAATAGAGACGTGCTTTGCACCGGCAGTTGCTTTCACTGATGGAGTTAACTTCTCACGTTAGGATGCTTTTAATGAATAAAGTGTGTACGTAAGGCTTTATAACAATACACGAGCTAAAAGCCCTCACGCTTACTACAGTGATTCACTATCAGTATTTGGGCACTCATAGATAAAACCTCTTGATCAGGTCATACCTTCTTCCATCATGACTTGACGGTCAGACTCATCTTACAAGGTATTTCTCCCGCCTTCTTGGCACGCTTTCGGAGTGTAGTGGCCAGCACGCTCGAAGTGTATTTAGGAGGCCCATGGCTCGAGTCCCGGCGAAGGCGTTGCTCATTTTTCATCTTTCCTGCTTCGAAAAAATCCTAATGTCTCTACAATCTGCCTGGAATAGTTTCTGCTGGAAATACAAGGTAACCAAAGAATTCTTGCTGTTTTGATCAGTCAGAAAGAAAAAGACATAAAACGTACAATAATCACCGCTAATTCTCAAAGTAGTTGTCATCGGTATCTAGTGCCTTTTGCCAACGAGTGGCTAGCTGTACGATGCCATTGCGCTAAAACTCGGGAGTCTTGGATGCAAAGAATTCCGTCAGGGCCTTTTCGAGGTCTGACCGGTTGTTAAAGGATTTCTTAGGAAGATGTTTGTTCAGTCACTGAAAAAGTTGGTTGTCTATTGACGCGCGATCTGGGGAGTATGGTGGATGGGGTAGTGTCTCCCAGTCCATTCGCTCAATGGCATTCTTGGCCTCCCGAAGCACATGCGGGCTCCCGTTGGCATGGAGTAGGAGTATACCCTTACGATTAACCAATGCTTTCTGTATATGCATCAGTGCCTGATAAACATGTTCCAACTGCTGTGAGAACAGGCCTGCCGTGATGTTTTGACCCACTAGCAGGAGCTCATAGTGCACCACCTGGCGACTAGTCCACCAAATACGGAGTATGAACTTGCGTGGGTGGAGAGAAGATCTGGAACGCCTGAGTGTGTCATACGGGACCCACTTCATCGCTGGTGAGTACTCGATCAAATATGGATGCATTGCAGTGTCGAGTAAGCAATGACAAACGGGAGGAGAGACAAGCTGTTGCTTATTTGCATCTGACAGTAAGTGGGGTACCCACTTGCTCAGCTTGTATGCCTTTCCTATGGGGTGCAAATGGAATCTGATCGTTTCATCAAATACCTGGAAGTGTACAGCAAGCTCACCACATATTTGGCTACTGTCATTCTCTATGGCTGCTCTAAGGGCATCATCGTCCAGCGCTTGTGGCCGACCGCTGCGTGGTGCATCACTAAGAGAAGTATTCCCTGACCTGAACTGCTGGAACCATTGCTTAGCGGAAGTGTACAGCAAGGTCCTCCCTACACCTGGAAGTGTACAGCAAACTCACCACATATTTGGCTACTGTCATTCTCTATGGCTGCTCTAAGGGCCTCATGGTCCAGCGCTTGTGGCCGACCTCTGCGTGGTGCATCACTAAGAGAAGTATTCCCTGACCTGAACTGCTGGAACCATTGCTTAGCGGTTCGTTTGTTAACGGTATCATGCCCAAAGGCCTTGAAAATTCGGTGACTTGATTCTGCTGCTGGCAGACCCACTTTAAAATCATACAGCAAACAACTCCGAACGAGTGCCTTTAACGCTTCCTTTCAATCAGTCGTTGTGTGAGTTATGTTTGAATTAGTCCGTAGACCATCAGGTTTATAAGAGGTTTTCAACCCTTGATGGGCCTTTACCAATAAATTTTTGTTCCCTACAAAAAGGGTAAAATCATCTGTAAATCTCCTGAGTAAGCAGGAGAGACTCAGCTTTATAAGCGCGTCTTTTCTTGAGTTTTAGAAGCGTACTCAGCAAAACTGCATCGGCACTGGTGCCGCCATCTGGAGGTTCTTTTCTTGGACAACTTAAGTTTTCTTAAGCAATTTTTAGCATAACATAACTTGCGTAAATTTTTTCTTTGCATAACGTGCGATAAGCATTAGTACCGTACATAATTTTTTAGAGTGAAATAAAAATTGTTTCTTGGATAAATACGATAGAATAAGCAATTAATTGGTGCAAGCAAAAATATGAATGCATAACTTTTCTTGGTATGGCTTGAAATAAGTAATAAATAAGGTACACATACTAATAATAATAATCACAAGTAAAAAAATTGAGTAAATAAGATTAAATATAAAATGAAAAAGGAAATTTAAACATTCACGATTTCTAGGTTCGGCTTCGAACCTTCGATGCTTAGTTCGTGCAAGGAAACGTTGATTAACACCGCTCGGCTATCGAGCTCTTCGCAATGACTTTTGTTTTACCAAATGCTGTTGAGGTGTACAGTTCTTGGCCTTTTAAAAGGTTGAGAGACTGTGTAATCATATTTCCCTATGTTCCAGAGTATTTCGTATTCACTATTATCAATTTTAGAATAGAAGTAATGGGAGTGGATGAAAATTTCTGTGCCTAAGGACTTTATTTTTTAAGTCTTGATGGATTGTTGAATTTTTTATGAACTGTTGGGAGTTTGTTATGATGCGTAATGCTTTATTTTGAACTCTTTGTAGAATTTGCTTGTTACGTTTGGCTGCTATTGCCCAAGCAGGTGCAGGGTAAAGTAAAATGGGATGGATGCATTGGAGGTAAACGATTCCTTTTGTATCTAAGCTGAGCTTGGACGTTCTGTTGATGATAGGGTAGCGAGACACAAGTACTTTGAGAGCTTCGTTTCTTGTTTCATTGCTATGATGCTTGAAATTTAATTTTTCGTCTAAGTAAACACCCAGGTATTTGGTTTTACTGTCTCGAGGGATAATTGTATTTTTAATTTGATATCTTCATAATTTTGTCTTTGAGAATGCGTGCGCTTGAAGTAAATTACGGTAGATTTTGATGCATTAATTTTTATTTTCCAGCCCCTGTACCAGGGGGAGAGTTGATTTATCGCTTCTTGGAGTTTCTGCTGTGCATAGTTTGGGTTTATTGACTCGCATAAGATTGCAGTATCGTCTGCTTAGCAGGCTATTTCTGCGTCTTCTATTGTTGATATGTCGTTTAAAAATAAATTAAAAAGCAGGGGGGGGAGGTTCGAGGCCTGAGGAAGACCACTGGGGGTAATTTTTCTGCAATTTGAAGTCTTCTCCTTGAGGTCGCACTTAGAAGCAGTGTAGCGGGCGCCTGGGTCAAGGACCCTACCCTTTGTCGAACATGTAGGTTGTTTCGAATGCTGTAAATGAGTAACTAACATAAGATATAATATTTTTTTTAATTATGATCATATTTTTGAGTAATGGGATAGTTAGATATTCTTAGCAGCAATAAAGTGTGCTCGAGTTCCAATAAAGACCTGAAAATGCCCTCTGGGAGAGCTGAGAAAGGGGGAAAAAGAACTGGCTTTAACCCGAGTCATATAATACATACATACAATACAGATAGTGTCAGTCAACTGGTGCACTCAAATCATAGCAAAAGTCATAAAGCACAATATAGGTAAAGTAAGTCAAATTAAACAAATTAAGTATGGGTACAAACTTAGGCCGTTTACAATTATTTGAGTCATTTACATCATAATCGTAGATCCTTATATCAGGGTTGTTGATACTTGCGAGGTTAGCATAAAAATTAAAATATTTCAGTTGTTCAATGCCTAATTCATCATGAAGTTTTTGATTTCGAACGTGCTAGGATTAGTTGGTGATCTGTCTTAGGACACAATTTTGTGCCTGCTGTAACGTTTTCCATATGATTTACATGAATATGCCCAAACCGGGCAGGCATAACATAGTATCGGACGCAATACAGTTTTATAAATAAGTAACTTGTTATCTATTGAAAGTACACTGTTTTGAGAAATTAAGGGGTGAAGTGTAGCGTTACTAACTCGAAACGCTTTGGATAGATGTTATGTGTGGGTAACATGAGGGAGTTTTACTGAGGATCACTTCAAGATAAAGGACTTGCTTGGCCTATGGGATATCTTCTCCTAAAGTTGCAGGTTTTTATTGAATTTGTTCTTGGTAAAAAATATTGCTTGAGTCTTATCGACATTAACTTTGATCTTCCATTTTGTCAGCCAAGTCTCGGGTATGTTCATGTAGTCTTGTAATCGTTGTATTGCTGGGCTAATGAATGCACTTTGTGAGAGGATCGCAGTGTCATCTGCATACATTGCAAGTGTTGTGTTCTGTGTGGTGGGAATGTCGTTCACGTAAATATTGAATAAAGTGGGTCCAAGCAGACACCTTGGGGAACCCCAGCAAGGATTGCCCTATGTGTTGATAGTGTATTTCAGACGCGAACGACAAAGTGTCTACCGGTTAGGTAGGATTTAACTATGTTTGTGGTGTAGCCTGGGAAGCCCAGGTTGTGTAGTTTATAAATGAGTGAGTCCAGTCAAACACGGTCGAAGGCCTTTGATATATCCAGGAACAGAC